GAAAATCTGTGGATCTAAAAATTTTAGTTCTAAAAAGAAATTCTAATTCATATGCTTCTTTCTGATGATTTGCAATTTGCTAGTAGCATCTTCTGTCTTTTTTCGACCATGCGCCAGGGACTGGATACAAAACACCAGCAAAAAAAAAGTATATCGTATCTACGGAGCGACTATTCAATTTCGATTAGAAAATTCCATTCAGAATATCAAAGAATGATTCGAGCAGGTTCGGATTTGAAAATTTTGAATCCGATAAGTTTCTATTTTCAAATATCTCTATATGGATAAATTGAAATGAAATAGTTATTCTTCAATATGCAAAATAATCATGTTAATTTTCTATCATATTTTCTTTTTGTATTTGTTTATCTTTACCAATAATAATTATTATTATTTCTATGAGATAGAATATTTAATTAAATTTAGGAAATTGAAAAACCATTACCTGATCCACTTTATGGTATTCGTGTACATGCTTGGGTACTTGTTTTACCTGGTAAACGTGAAGTACCGGAAGCATTTTTTATTGAATCAACAACAGGTCATGCTAAAGCAACAAATGATCCTGAATATTTGGGTATTGAAAGTGTATGGAATCATCAAAATTTATGGGTTAATATGCAAGATTGTTCGAATGGTTGTGAAGTCCGTGTTTCTTTTTTTGTGTTTTAATTATTTGCAAATGAAAATATGTTTATTTTATGTTATTAGTCACTTCAATTTGATTTAAATGATCAAGCTCGATGGGAATTTATGTTTACTTATTCAACTAATTTACGTGGAGCAGTAACAACTTCATTAAATACATTGGGTGGTTCTGCAATTCTCGATGAAGAAGAAGAAAAAGTAAGTTTTTGTTTTTATTTTGTTTTAATATTTATTTTTAATTTTATTTTTTGTTTCAATAGCCAACTGTTGAAACAACTCAAAAAGATATTGAATTACCTCCATCATGGGTTCTTACTCTTAATATAACACCTAAAGGTATAATCATAAAATATAGTTTTGATATTGAATTTTTTTTTTCTTTAGATTTTCAAAAACGTTATCCACATTCTCGTAAAACATATTTTTATAAAAAAACTCGTGTTGAAAAATATGCTCCATATAGTATGAAAGATGGAATTGTTCTTAAAGTATCTGAATTTGCTGATTATGATTGTAAGTTTAAATAGAATCTTAACAAAAAAAACACAAGTTTATTTCATGGAAATTTAGTTAAAGAACTTATTTATGTAACACAAAAACATGAACATCGTCATGATAAACTTGAAATACGTGAACATGATGTACGAACTAATATGGTCTATGAAAATTATTTACCAGGTCGAAGTGATCATTTAAAAGGTAAAAGATTGTGAAAGAAAAACAAAACGCATTTCATATATTATTTTTTAATAACTTCCAGAACTTCATAGGGGCTTTACTATAAATTCAAGTTATAATTATGAGGGCATGGGTGACATCGGAGTTGGAGATCACAATGAGAAATGATTTTTTAGAAGATTGTCTCTTGTATAATATAGTTAGAATGTATTATATGTCAATAAAAGATAAGTTCTTGCTATTTAACTGGCAAGTGTTCACTGAAGCAGATCACTGCAAGAAGGACATATTTTGATAGAGTTGATGGCTCAATGTTACAACGAATACGGATGTCAGTGTAGTCAGCACGAGCAGGGAACAGCAGGGACTTCATTCTTGAAATCTGTCGTAGTTGCCACGTATTCATATAGTACTGTGTTCAAATCTTGGCTCCATTAACCCTGAAATGACTGTGAACAAGTCACTAACGGCTGTTTATCTCGGATCACTCGTCCGATAGCATGCTGACTACATTATAATATAAAGCAGCTATTATTAGTTGTAGACAAGATATCGACTTAATGAATTTACTACTAGGCAGCATCCTATACTTCCAGATGGCTGAAAGGCAAGGATATTCTTCTTTCCTGTCGAAGTTCCGTGAAGTTATTTGAAATTTGCTGTTTCTTCCTCGAGTCAATGCTTCAGTGAACAGTGATACCAGTGTAATCAGTATCATAATAAATCATTCATCGGTGATATCCACATATCTCTACTGCTATTCAAACATTTGATCAATAGATAACTGTTTTTTATTTAATCTTTTCTCAAAATATCACTCTTTATAATTAGTATAACTTGTATGGGTTACTTTATTAAACAGAGTGGTAAAGATTAAAAAAAATTCTATATATTCTAATTTGTCATAGATAAGATAAGCAAAATTGAAAACTTAATTTTTGTTTTTTTATTATTATTTATATTCAGAACATACATATGGTTTTGGACCAGAATTTGAACGTATAATGATTTATTATGATAAAGCACGTTTAGATGGTTTAGCTAGACGACATGAAACAATTCTTGAATTAACTGATTATTTTATTAATCGTGATGATTTTCTTGAATATCGTCAAGCTATATTTGAACCTCGACCAAAAAAATTCGGTCCAGCTGATAAAGATACTCAAAGACCAATTATTGTAATTATATTCTTCATCAAAAAAAAAAAGAAACAATGTTTTTATTTTATTGTTTTTATTTTATTAATAGTCAATAACTGAAAGATATGGTCGTAATTTACAATTAAATGCTAATGATGATATTCATGAATTAGTTTATGCTATTAAAGAAAATAAATTTGTAATGACTTATCATCGAGATTCTAATCATATTACACCATCGACTAGGTAAGTTTAATTAAAAATAATTTATAAAAAAAAATTTTTTTTTCTGAATAACTTTTCTTTTGCAGAACATTTTGCAAACCGGTGAGTTCTAGTTTTTTTTTTCTTCATAAGAAAAACAAGACAGTAGTTAAGATTTTTCCAATGGTTATTAATTTAGGCGAATTGGAATGATAAAGCATTTACAATACAATGGAATGAAGATTTACAAGATACTTATCAAGCTGATGAAGAATTTAAACAAATGTCTAAACGTGATCTTTATTTTAAAATGTTACATCTTATTGAACAAGAAGAAGAAGTTATTAAACGAGTACGAAAAGCAGAAGATGAAGTAAATATGATTTCACATATTTTTTTTTTTTTGTTTTTTGTTAAAAAATTTCTCCTTTTCAAAGACACGTGATCTTCAATCTCGTCGTCAACAAGAAGAACTTTCAAGTGATCTTGAAATTAGTGTTTATGATATTGATAGAAATGAAAAATCTAAAATATACAGAAAATTATTGGTAAGCTAATATAATTAAAACATCTTATTTTTTATTATAAGTTGATAACGGGTATACAGAATCAAAGAGACAGAAGAATAATGGAATTATTCATATCGATTACATATTCTTGATATAATGCATTATGATATTTTTTGAATACTTCGAGGAACAAGAGTAACTAGAAACCTGCGGCTTTCACCATTCAAAGCCGTAATATTTTGGATCGGGAAAGTGTCTACTTAAGATAACCTGAGTCATTAATAATCAACAGTATTTTATCGAGATTTTCGCTTCCGAAGAGACGAATTAAATGCCCGGAAGAGCGAACATCTATTTTTCATAGAGGAGACAGTACGTGGTACAATAACCCAGAGCTAGAATCGGTATTTATATAAAGTATTTGATATGCGTTCTCAATAACATCTTCATGTCTTGTATGAAATGCAAATGCTTTCAATCTGGTGATAAATAGCAGAAATATTACAAATAGTGCTTAAAATTACATGTACTTGCTGTATTTAAATATAGCTTATTGGGCATGGACTTGAAATACTCGAATTTTATCAAAATTACTCGTCGTAGCTCTACAATAATCACAGACTCCGGTATGACCAACCTAGTGGAAAATCTAAGCTTTTGAGAAAAGGAAGCAATCATTGTCACAAAAAAGTGGTTTGAAGTCTATTAGAGATTATATCAGCGTTTTTTCTTGAGAAAAATCGAAAAAAAATTTTCGAAGAGAGGAGCGATTGGTCTCAGTGCCGTCCTCTGAATCCCATCTTCGGAAGAACGTCGTCTGCTACACCCCCCGTTGATGGTTAGGAGTCAAACCTTTAATTAAAGACTACCCACGAAAGATCGTATATAATCATAAACGATATTTTTGTTCGATCTTTCCATAAAATAAAAGTGTTAAACTAAATCATATTTTATATATTTTTAGCAACAAAAAGCAGATGAAGAAAAACGTAAAAAAGAAATACATGATGTTGATTATCTTGCACCATTTCTTGCTGCTATCGGTTTGTTATGATAACATTTGTTTTTAAAAAATTTTATTCATTTGTTTTTTTTTCAAGGTAATCCTGAACGAATTAATGTTCAACTTGCTCAACAATTACGTCTTGCAGCACAACGTGATTTTAAAGATCGTTCAATTCGTAAAGCTAATTTAATGCAAGCACGTTATGAAAGTGAAATTCAAGAACTTATATCGAAACAACAATGGTATCAAAAACATCAAATTGGTATGTCTAAAGAAGATGAACTTGAATATCAACGGTTATGTCAAGAAGCTCAATTTCGTTTACATATACTTGAAGAACGACTTAAACGGTTTGTTAAAATTACTCTAAACAAAAAAAAATTAATTGTGTTTGTTTTTTTTTGTTCTTCTTTTAGACACAAAGAGTTAGCAACAGAAAAATATATGCAACTTGAAAATAAACTTAATGAAGATCCTCGTTTAAAAGAACCATATATTGTTCGCTGATTTTATTTTATATAAAAGAGAATATTATGAAATGACAGAAAAAAAAAGCACATGAGTAAAGAGAAAATAACACGTTCGTACATTAAGCGTCTTGATATAATTCGCACAATTGAATAAATATGTGCGACAAGAGAACAAAAAAAAAAACAATGATTATCACACGACTATATATGAGTAGAATAGTAATTAAATGAAAATTGCACAATACAAATAGTAGAAAGTTCAATTTGCTTGATATACATATATATTTGCATTTTTTATTTTGTTTTATTTTGCATCTGACATTGTTTAAGTAAGATAAAATGATTAAACCCACGAATCAGGTGACGCTGTAGCTTGTTCAAGTTGATTCCATGTTGCTGGTTGAACTTGTTGTGGTCGATTTTTATGAACAGTTGCGTATAAATCTGCATGTGGATCGAAATGAGATGACATGGTCTAAAAAGAAAAATAGATCAATTTTTTAATTCAAACCGTTTCATACATAAGTACTTGTCAAAAGTTTTTCGTCTGACTCTCTTAAAAAAGTTATAATTTGAATACAACTATTCTACTACAATGCTTATGAGGGAACCTTCACAACTTGAAAATCGTTTTCGAGTTTGTACTCTATACATAATGTAGACACCCATAAGGTATTAAAAATGCTAAAAGGATATGAAGACCTAGAGCTTTTCTACAGAGTACTGAAATTCTATCCATAGATAGATGTACATATAACTACAATGTTCTGAAAATTCCAGCTCAAAAGAATGTTGTTTTCATGAGATATTGAATTCACAAAGATTCGAAAATTTCATGTTTTTTTTTTGGAATTCAATATCTCGTGAAGAGCACATTGGTTTGAGCTGAAATTTTCAGAACATTCTAGTTATATGTCGATCTACGTATGGGCAAAATTTCAGTGAAACGGTTAGAACTCTGTAGAGAAGATTTCCTCGTTAATCACGTTTTGGATTATGCGAAAACTTCTAGACTTCGAAGTTTTACATTTCCTTCAGACTAGTGAGTAGTGATACAGCATTTTTCATATGACTTTGATTTCTCACGGGGAATACATTCAAAGAATGATTTTTACATGGCTAATAAATCGATTTAAGTTATAATGAAAGCAACGAACATCGGGAGACTTCACTCCTTGTGGTTATATAATAATCCATTTGTTTTATTTATTACAATAGAATAATGTTAGCATTAAAGATACGACTCATTCAAATCATTCTCGATTTACTGTGACTGGATAAACCTTTTACGCTGTTCTAATACTAATTGAAAATGATTTTCATTTACCATATGAATAAATAGAGAACACTCTGAGCATTATTTCGTCAGCAGTTATTTCAATAGTACTTAATGAATGCTTTACTAGCTCATTTATGACTGAAACCAGTTTCATATTCAATTGGTTCGTTATTTACTAGAAAGATTTGAAAGGGCCTATCTTCATACTGTATTCTACATTATTATTAATGATCGCTCATAGACTTATTATAAAACATAATGGAATATTCAAAAGTTTGAGCATTACAAATTAATCCATAAATAGTCAAGGGTCAGACAAACAAATTCCACCAATTGTTTCATTAAATCTCTTTTATTAGGATCTGACAAACAGAATTTAGGTTGTCAATAGCTGCCTAGCATCAGTTCTCAAACTGTATCAGCTGAGAAACAAGAGACCGATTTTTGAGCTTACGGAAAGGCTGAGATACCAACGAATTTTCGGCAAAAGATCATATGAAATCATATCCAAATCAGGTATACCCTCAAGACCTCAATCCATATGACGGCATAACAACTCATAAATGGCTTCACAAAAGACTATTCTGATACTTCGAAACACAATACCAGAAGCAGTCTTTAAATATTTGTCTACATAGCTGGCAAAAAATAAGTTTTTCGAGTATCCCTTATAAAATCATTATTTAACAAACAAAACTAAAATTTCTCGTACAATTATAAATTATTTAATTTCTCTTTACTTACTCCATTTGCATATGTTCGTGATAGATTATCCACACTTTGATTCATTTTTTGCATTCGATATTCTTCACTTCCTAAATGAGAAACATTCTCGTTTTTTTATCAAAATATATTCATTTTTTGCTGTTGTTTTTTTTACTTTGTGGACGAGTAATTTGTTTTCCTTTATTTGTAAAATGTGTTGGTTGTCCCATATCACCTCTTGGTCTATGTAATGTTGATTGAGGACTTGATGTTAATGATTTTGAATTTAATAAACGATGATTAAGAAAATCATTTTCTTTATAACCATTTTGTTTATAAAATTCATGTAATGTTTTATGTTTATACATTGTATTAAGTACATGTGCAGTATATTTAATAACTTTCGAATTATATGTATTATTTTTAGCATTCATAATACCTTTCATTTTAATAAAACCACGTTCTTGAAATAATATTTTAGCATTCATATCATTATTTCGTATAATTTCATTAAGTGCAGCAAGTACAGATGCAATTGTTTCATCAGAATGACGACGTCGATTTATTGTTTGTTCTGTTGGTTCAGGTAAAATAGCAACAAGTTCTTTAATAGCCCATCCACCAAGAACATCACTATTTTTTTGATCAATTGCTAAATTACGTAATGCAATAGCTGATGCATTTACAACAGAATCACATTCATCAACACGTAATAAATCAACTAATTCAGCAAGACCACGAGCTTTTCGTACTTCACCACGTAAATCTATCGATGGTTTCCAATAACAAGCAGCTAAACACACACAAAAAGAAGTTTTAATTTATATTTTAAAAAGAACAAAAAAAAATATCTCGTACTTAAATTTTGAATACATCCAGCTGTTGCTTCAAGTGTATCAGGATTACTACTATGACGTAAAAGATGTACATATGTACCAATAACATCTGCTTGCCAAAGCATTTCAACAGGTCGACCTTGACGTGGTGGCATAACAGCATGAATATTATTTCCTATTTGTTCAGTTAATTGTTTAGTTTTTTTTTGTTTTGAATTCATACAACTTATTTTATTTTTTTCATTTGATTGTATTGGTAACATATTCCATGTTGAATTTGTATTTGTTGTTATTGGATAATTTCGATCATAATCACGATCAATAACTTCTTGTAATTTATATGATAAATTACGTAATATACACATACAATTTTCAATTGATTTATTATCAATTTCATTTAATGATTGAAGACTTGAATTAACAGCATGAAGAAGTGAAGGTATAAAACCTTCACATTCACGCATTTTACGACGACCTTCATAATCAGCTGATGAACAATTACTAAATTAATATATATATATATATGTTAACTTTATGAATTCTAATCTAACAAATTATTGTATACATCATATTTACTATACTCTTTATTCATAATGACTAAGCCCACAATGTAATTCCTTTTTATTGTATGAACACTGCTGCTTTATCATTATTCTAGTTTCCAGTAAACTAGACTAAAAGCTCGTCTTTTGAGAGTCGAAATTAAACAGAGACAAATGTTGACGTGTTTCTTTGAGTGCACATTTCTTGACATAAGTTGCGATTTCTTTAATCATACTAGCTTTAGACCCCGTCAGGTCCGAAAATTTTGGTCCCGAACTCAGTCTTTTCTACTTTTTCGGGACTCGAACTCAGTTTATTGTATGTTTTGTTTTGAGACCCGAATCTAGTTGATAAAACTTTTTTTGAACCCAATCGAATCGTACTTTGATATTCTTAATGAAATTTTCTAATCGCTATTTGATAGTCACCCAGAAGATACGAAATATTATTTTTCCGGTTGTTTTTGTATTTGGTGACTAGCGCATTTTACACATTTAGCAGACGACTAGAACTCGTTAAGTCCAAGATTTTCAGACTCGGGCTAATCCAGAGGACTCTAACTAGCTTTATACAGTTGAAAGTACGAAGCACTGTGTTCAATCAGACAGAAAAAAACTTAATTACCGTAATATTCCAGTTGTATTTTTAAATACTGGTGGAAATTTTCCTTGTGGATTTAAACGTCTATTTATATCAGCATCCCAACCCGAAAATGGAATAATTATATTTTTAACAAGTACATTTAAACCTTCATCAAGTATTTGTCCTTTTAAATGTGGCGATGATGATGCATTCCAAAGAACAGCTGTAACAGATTCACGAATATCTTCATATTGTGTACGACGTAAAAGATGAATTAAAGCTGGAATACCATCACGATTTTTTAATTCAATCTAAATAGATAAATTTCAAATTTTCTTTTTTTTTTCAAATATTCTTTTTTTGTGTGTATGTCAAACTTTATTTTCATCATTTCGTTTTCCATAACATAAATTTCTTAAAGCACCACATGCATTTTTTTGTATTTCAACTTTATCATGATTTAATAAAGCAACTAAATAAGTTATACCATTTAATGATCGTGTTTTTGATTTAATATTATCATCATTGTAACATAAATGTTGTAAATAAGCAGCAGCATTCTCTTTAATAACATCACTCGTATGAGTAAGATATTCAATAACTTCTTCTAAATCAGGATCACGCCAACGTTGTTCTAATAAAGAAAATTTATTCATTACAAAAAAAAAAAAAAGAATAAAATCATATCAAAAAAACAAAGCAAAGCAAAGCAAAGCAAGAAAAATATGTATACTAGATATATTCAAATAATTACAATATCACATATTTTTACAAATATTTCAATATAAACAAATTTTATTAACGTGGAATGTTAATGAAAAATCCCATTGACTTATTTTTTTTTTGAGGATTTTTCTTATAAGGCTAAAAATGAATGCACGATATACTTTATACAAAACTGATTCAAGTGAAATAATATAAAAATCATGAGTTCTTATATTATTTAATTATACAAACACTATGAAGAAAAGAATAAATCATCTTGTCATTATAACTCAACGATTTTTTTTGATATGCTTGATTTATTTATTTCTTCATATTTTGACCTTTTTGATAATTAATGTACTTATTGACATGATCCTATGTATAGTTTAGTATTTGATGAATTAGAAGTTCGCTGATCTTTAGATATGCGTCTTAAGATTTCTAAAACTTTTTTCATCATTATAATGAACCATAACGACATATTGTCATGCAAAAGATTTGTTCGTGCAAAAGTATAAGAGGAATTCTATAACGCATACTAAAAGAAAATTATTCAAGGTTTTATGATTTTGTTAGTCGTTAGGTATATCTAAAATAATTTATCTTATTTGCATTTTTGTTACTCTCAAAATAACTGACTATCACATAATACTTCAGCTTTAATCTTATCAAAAAAAAAAAATCATTAAAACAATTCAATAGAATTTTTTTTATTGCCATTCTTGTAGAGAATTTAATGCAGAATGTTTTAAAAAAGGATTTATCTGTGTTTTAAGATACTCGATGTTGTAATCATTTTTGACTCACTTCGGTATACATATATATATGTATATGTGAACTTACCTCGAAATTCTGTATCAATTGAAGATGATCGTCTTCTAGATGAATAATCATCTTCATTTAAACCATATGGTGCATACATACGATTAAATGTTCCATATTCTTCACCATAACCAGGAGGAGCTGAAATAATTTATTAGGGAATGCGTATGCAAACAATGCAAGGACATAACAATATATATGAAAGACAACGATAAACATTATATTAATTTATTACCTTGTCCAATACTATCCGGTGATTGTCGTCCAGCTGTTGGCATAAGAACACGACTAACTGGATCGGGTCGGCCAGGTCCTAAACCTTCATATGGATTTTCTACATCAAGATCTGGTTCATCAACTAAATTTGGATCATCAGGATCATAACCCATACTTTTTTCATCAGTATTAACTAAAATAAAAATAAAAAAGTATTCTAATTATAATTTTTTTTTTTCGGGGGGGGAAATATACTTTTATTATTTTCTGGTTCATTATAAGCATTTCCATTTAAATTTTGTTGAACAAGCATTTGTCGATTTGAATAAACATCTTGATTATTATCATTAATATCAAAAGATTTTAATCCATTTGTTATTATTTTTGTTTCATTATCATATTGAGAATAGAATGAATTAGGTAAAAATCCACCACTTGTATCATGTTTTATTTTTGATTGATTATATTGATCAATTATAATTTGATATTTTGGATTATCTTGTCGAATAATTTCACCAGTTAATGGATCAATAAGATGACGATGAACACGTGTAATTTTTTCAACTTTAGTTACTTTTGATACTTGTTGAGATTCTTCTTTTTTACGTACAACTTTTGTACCATCAGGTGTTGTTTCTTCTTCAACTGTTGTTATTACTTTAACTGTATTTGTTTGAGGACTTTCATTATTATCACCATCAGATGTATATGTATATGAATAGACAAGACGTTCACGTTGTGGATCATCGATTTTTGTTTCGCTGGGCATTTTCTTAATAATGATTAATTATGACTAAAATTATATAAAAAAAAAAAAAAAAAAAACTTATTTTGACATTTGTTTGTCAAGATTATAGAATAAGAAAATTTAATTATTGTCTGTAATTTGAGATTAGACTTATGGAAGATTGATTATTAATCGATCATGACGTGTCCAACAAAAAGAAATGAAGGTCAAATCAAAGGAGAGAACTTGCGTAATACGTATACGTATAAGTAAAATACTAGAATAATTTCTTCTGAACTTACACCGATGAATTGACCCCAAGAAATAAAGAGAAATGGAGGTTGTCATATTTTTACATCAAAGTCAATGATCATAAGATAAATAGAGTGTAAATTCCTTGAGGACATTATATGTAAATTTATAAAAATTCTTTTCTTGTCATTATAGTAATTCTTTAACTTTGCTGAAGGCATACAAACATAAGAAAAATGTCTATAACATTAAACATTTATTATATATATACATTCATTTATATCTACTGACAATGTTTATCTATCGATTAAATAATATTATTCAATCATACAAACAATATATTAGAATTTTTTTTCTCCATCATGTTCTGCCAAATAAAAAAAACATATGATATTCAAAAAAGAGTGTAAAAATTTTTTTTTTTTGTTTAATGAATTAAATTAATATACTATCTTTTTTTTTCCTCGGAGTTCATCTTAAGATATACTTGATTGAATACAAAAGAGTGAAATGAAACGAAACTATAACGAGTACACTCATTTAGATGTGCTTTGAAGCAAATACAAAAGACAAACCTTGAATGAACAAATGCACTAGCAAAAGAAACAAAAGAGTCGCTTACCATTACAATTCATTTTCTTTTCATTATTCTCATATTTTATATTTAATATCAAACTTATTTAGTATGTCTGCCTTTCTTCTTCTTCTTCTTTTGTCTCATTCAATTCATCTTTTCTCATGCGCATCTCATACAGAATAGTAAGATATACTAAGACTAGAAATCAGCAATAGCAATAAATCTCGACCGCATACTCAGAGATTGAGTACACGAGTCATATATATATATATATATATACAATGACCGACAATAAATATATATATATATATATATGTGTTCAGCAGATGAGAAATAGAAAGAGAGATGTAATTTGTTGTCTAGCTTGTAGAAAAAGGAAAAAAATACAGAACAGAGAACAATATTGAACAGGCTTCTAAATGAACATTTATCTAATGTTTTTTCTTTTTTGATCTGGCATAAATCCAAATTAGAAATAAATAGACAACTATATACTAACAAAGAGAGAGAAAAAAAAACGACAATCTTATTTCTATGTCAATTTAATCAAAAGAATAAAATTTTTTCAAATAAAATAAGATATCTCACCTGATTGTTAGAATAATAATTAATATATGTGTGTACATAAACAAACACCTATGATAAATTATCAGCCCAGATCTCAAAAAAAAAAAAAAAAGAAAGAAATTCTAATCAGAAGCCATTCTTTATATGAGAAGTAAAGAGAACAGACAAATGTCTCTAATGTAAAGAAAAGAAAATGAATATTTAGCGACATCATTACTTTGAACAGCAGCCATAAACAATCATATTAAACCTCGATGATGAATATATTGTTCAACCAATAGCAAAAGAAACTATGATTTATTTATTTTCATTGATCTTATCTATTTTTATAAACATCATTTTGAGATATCTATTTAGAGTGGAAGTATAATATTTACTTTTTTTTTTGTTTTGAATAGTTGATAATGTAAGTTTATTATTATTATTATTAATATGTTATATTTATCTCGATAAAACAATATTTCGTAATTTTATAGCATAAAAGTAATAAAAATTTATTCTTATTTTTCTATATAAAATAAGATAAATGTTAAATTAATACATTGAATTCAATGCATTTATAGACATCTGAGGAAACTCTGATAGAACATATCTATAAATCATTTCATGTATTTATAATCATTAATAGAAAATTAACTTCACGACATACATTTATTACTTTCAATTCGATTAAGATAAATTAATTTATCATCAACAGTATCAAAATTATATGTAACAGCAAATAATGTCATACACAATATCTATATGTAACAATATGTATTGTTTGTGATTTCGATATTTTGATTAGTAAGTCTTTTTTTATAATTGTCTTTAAAATATAATATATTCGATGGTAATTTACATCAATATGAAAATCGACTGAAGAAAAAAAAAATTTAGTTGATTATTATGATTATTCTTTTCTTATTGATATTAGATTTATTTTTTAATGATCTATTTTGACGAATTGTAAGACCATCAAGAACAGAATCAGCTGTTTGCATACAATGTATTCCTGTGAAGTGTAAATATAATTAAGAATTAAATTAAGTGAACCAAAAAAACATTTATCCATATGATATATGTACGAGTTTTACCATGTCTTGGTATTGCTAAAGCAAGAATATATTCATGAGAATTTGTAATTAATTTATATTTGATTAAAAAATTTCTGATGATCAATTAGAATTTTCTAGTAAAACAAAATTTAATTGTTCAAAATTTCGTATAATGATAATATGTGGTTTATGTTATCAGTTTATTTAGAGAGATAATATGAGTATTATTTTTATAAAGTAAATCTGTTTTGAATACAAATCATTTAAATGTATCTTCACAGGTGCATTGATGACTAATTGAGAAAAAGAAAAAATTAATTTTTTTTATCTCTGTGTCATCGCATATATTTTTTTTCTTACTCATAATATTCATAAAAGATTAATATATATGTATATTGATAGTAGACTCTTAGGAAAAAAAATTTGTTTTTCTATGATTGTTCTATTGTGAATATAATTTGATTGAGTGTTATAGATGTGGAAAATATAAATTTATTTCGAGATTCTTTCGTTAAATTAACTTTTATATTACACAATGAATTCTTTCGAAAAGAAATTTAATAAACTATCTCATTGATAAGATAATATTTCATAAGAGCATTCAGTGTAAAAAAAAAAAAGAATTTCTCAATTATATTCACCACTATTCTATTGCTGAAATTATTTATTAAATTCCAATTATTCCCAAAAAGTAATACAGAACATTGTTTTTTTTTATTAGTTCGAAATTTTCAGAAGTAATTTCTGGTTGAAAAGAAAAGATAATAGTATGCATTTAAAGAAAAACAATTATCTTAATAAAATTTTCATGATCACCTTTTTGCACAATTTTATTATTTCACTTCACGACTGACTCATATTATGGATGTTTATCGAGAATAGAGGTTGTTTTTTTTTCCTTTCTGAGTTGGATGGCTTCATTGTCGTTTTTTTTTGTTCTATTTTTTCTTATTCGTCGACCGTCTCTATTGACGACGGTCGGGAATGCGTAGAAAGCGAATGAGAGACAGAGAGAGAGAGAGAAAAAAAAAAATAAGCGCCAGTCGTCGATTTTGTTCTCCGTCGACGGGACATGTTAAAATGCTTGACTATCTTCTTTTCCTTCATTTTTTCTTCGCGCATCGAATAGAGTAAGTAATAAGAAGAAAAAGCAAAATAAGAATAAGAACGCAAAGTACAAAGTACTTTTTCTTCGTTTCGGCTTGGCATAACAAAAAAAAACAATTCTTTTTTTTTTCAGACAAATAAAAAAACATTCAATTTATCTCTTCATTCACATCTGTCACTTTTCTCATTTTTGTGTTTCTTATACATATATCAATTCGGAATATTTGGCAGTTGTATATTCACACACAGACGACGAAGCGTATCATATACATACAATTGTTTAGTGTATATATATTCAAGATACATTGACTTTGATAAAATAAATACTGATTCATTCTAAACCAGAACATACGGATTTGTCATTATATCAAACAGCAAGAATATTCATCGTCATCATCTTAAAACGGTAACTAATTGTAAAAAAATTGTTTTTCTTAATTTCAACTATACATATTTGGTTATTTAAAAAACGAAGAAAAAAAAATCAGAAAGCAGGATTATTTCATAATATGCATATTCTATATTCATATGCCAAAAGAAATTCTATAAAATTTATTTCTTTTGTTCATTTATGTCTATTATATACAAAAAAAAAAAGAAGACGAAGTTATTTGGTCTGCTTAATAAATATGCCCTATACACACCAAGTGTTCCTTACTGAAGACAGATATGCAATATGTGACTCATTTTCAAACCAATGAAGTTCGATCATATTCACACGCATATATGTATGCACATACACACACAAAAAAAAACGACATAGGTTTATATTAGATAATCTGAATAGAAATTGATTTATTAAAATTTGTATAATGATAGAACAAAGCATAAACGACTTATTGAATTTAATGATATAGTGCGCAGGTTTTTTTCTTTTCAAATGACTATATTTCCTAGTTTTTCTTTTCATTATAAATTATTATGAACGTCGATGATTGATGAATATAAAATATGGTGTTTTTTTTTTATTGAAATCGATCTATCAAAAATCAATTATTTTTCAACCAATAGATTTTATTATCATGACAATTTGAACAAGTTTTACAACAATCATTCGTCGATTTCGTCGACTACGACAAGATTTTCAAGTTGAAGTAGGATGAACCCGGCAATAAATAAATTGAAAGTTAAGCTTTGAGGAAAAAGCAGCTACGATTTTTATCTTAAAAAAATTAATCATCGAAAGAAAATGAGAAATCAATGATCCCTACTTAAGACTATTCTTTGAGTGTCCACTGTTCAAGTAAAATCAATGTTTATCGTCGACAATTCTATACTTGTATCAATATTTACTCGTGACAAGCATTCGTCTTTTTCATTTTATATGATTAGAATTATTATCAGCAAATAAGTATATGAATGCTCGATAAATTTTAACGCAAGGTATAGATAAATAATCTTCATCTAAGAATTGAGCTCTTTTTCATATCTCACGACATACATACACACACAAAAGAAGGTCACCCTGTTTGCCATTTGAACAAGTTGTGATACTGATTATTATCAGAATGCGTATGGCCTGTATTTATGATCGATAGTTCTAGACTTCTTACAAAGTGGCTTGTTGAGTTTCTTTTCCTGATGCATTTTTAATGTATATGTATTAGTCCAGTGATGATAAATAATATGACTATTGCACCACACATATATACATATATATGATAGGAGAAAATAACAAGTCGTGAATTGAAAGCTGTGTTCTTGAAGTGGATAATATTCAAGTCTTATCGAATTCACAAATACAAATATCATAGAATCTTAAACATCAGTACTGCGAGTAACGATCCGAAAAAAAGAAAAATATTCTTATTTTACATCATCTAATTATTTTTTTTCTCTTTTGAATATGATATCTCTGTTAAATGATAATTAAGTTAAGTTTGGTATTTATGAAACAGTTTTCATGAAATATTCCTCTAGGAATAAACCTAATGTGGCAAACAGATTCTCGAATTTTTTATATGAGATCGCAGATAAGGTCTTTTCATCAATTAAAATTGACATATATGGATCCTGAAAAATAATTTTCGTATTTCAAGAAAATTTCTGTCTATATGGAGTAGACATGAACAATTTTGATTTCGCCAGAGATATTATCCGTATAAATTTAATATATATATTTTCATATCATTTACGGACTAAATCTCTAGAGAGTAGTACATTTTCTCATTTGAAACATATGAGTTAGATAGATGATAGAGCTATCTAAATTGTTCTAAAAGAACTTGTTGATTGATTTTTTTTCCTGATATAATCTCGTTATCAAATAATACTATAAAAAAAAACAATGATTCCGCACATAGTAGTTGAGAATTGAAAAACTGTTCGATTATATGTATTTAATTGTCTAAGATCAGTGATCGTGTACAGAATTTGAGTATCACTTGTAAAATCTCTCTTATTCTTATCAATCAAAAGCATCTTTTTTTTTTGCTTATATTGACAACTTGATAAAGATTTATTGGATATATAAACAGTGTCGCGAAGGACTATACTAATGGATATAATCTGTTATTTAAGTATTCTCTGAAAACAAAGAAACATTTTGCCATTATCGACGAATTTCAGAAGTCATCTTTCCAGACTAATGGATTTTGCATCTTAGTAATTTGATTAGTATTTATATGTATATACTATCGAAGATAAGAATTTGTCGGAACAGCAGTATATTTGGACCGATGGCTTAAGACATTAGTTCGTTAATAACATCTGCAGAAACCTCATATGGATTTCTCATTGAGTTGGTATCAATATTCTTTTATAACAGATTTATCGGATTATTTCATCTAAAATGATATGATTTACCTTAATGAAAAAAAAAAATTATCAAGAATCCGATATGTTTGTTTGAAATAGATGCTCAAGAAAAATATAATTCAAAAAAATTTTCTTTGTTTTTTTTTCGAAAAGATTTTTTGTCATTCCTTTCATAATCGAATGCTACTTATAACTGATCGTATTTCGATAACCTTCGAAAAAGAAGCAATTGTTTTTTTTTCTTGATACGTTGACATATGATGATTCAGGAGCATTAATTTCAAAAAAAATCAAATAAAAAACAGTCACCGTCTTATTCAGATTTTCTGTTTCCGAAAGGCGATTTATTACTCCGGAAGGACAAATATATATTTTTGAAAGCGCAGAAATATACTACAATAGCCACAAACTCCATGCAGGCGAACCCGGCCCTCGGAGGGGCGTCGCTCTTCGACTGGATAAAACAGTCCATTACTTTACTATAGCTTTCAGTAAAATTTTTATCATATCGCTGGGAATAGGTAAAAGTTTGTCTAGTAACTAAATAGTAAAATCTGGGTTTGTATGGATAAAAATGGCGAAACTGTTTAATCTTATTCGATTGAAAATCAAAAAGTAGGGAAAAATTATTTTATGTGAATATAAATATCAAATCGTATACTACCGAATTTTGTGGTCTTAATGTTAGATTTTTGCGTCATGAAAATGTTCGAATAATATTCGCTTGGCGAATAATAGAAACTATAATACAACTCATAGTTATCGATGTCATTACGGCTCATTGTAAACGAAGCTTCATTGTGTTTATAAATTTGTTTACACCGGTGATAGCATAGTAACCTTGTATGAGATAAATACATTATCATTTGATGAATATTTTCGTTTTAATATAAACCAATTGAATTTTTTGAAGATATAGATCATGCATATTATGAAACTGCGCAGAATCTTTAAAAAAAAATCATAAATTTTTTTTTTTGATATATGACAACAAAAAAAAATTCTCACTTATTAAATTGATTTATTTGAATTTATTTCAGTATATTGACATAAATAAATAAATAAAAAGAAATATATATATATATATATAATCTTTCGAATGTCTGTTATTATACGTTTGGAAAATTTGCCTTGGGAGGCACGTTCAATTGATATTCGTCGATTTTTTCAAGGACTTCAAATTCCTGATGGTATGATAATAATTTCAAAACAAAAAAAGAAACACTCAATGAATAAATTTTTTTTTGTTTTTCTAAAAGGTGGTGTTCATATTGTTGGTGGTGATCGAGGTGATGCATTTATTGCATTTCATTCAGACGATGATGCTCGTCAAGCAATGCAAAAAGATGGTGGTCTCATATGTCAACAACCGGTTAAATTATTTTTAAGTTCAAAAATTGAAATGCAAAATGTTATTGCAGCTGCACGAAGTAAACCACCATCATCATCAAATACAAATCAACAAACACAATCAACAAATGTATCGCAACAAAAACGTTCTGATCCATTATCTCAACAATTTACTCATGATATTGATGAAAATCAACATCAACAACAACAACAACAAACACAACCAACACCAACAGCACAATCAAATATAACAAATGATCCAATGTCATCATTTCTTGATGTTGTTAATAAAATGCAACAACAACAAAAAGCAAATACAACGGCAACAACATCATTACCAACAGCAGCTGCATCTGCTTTACAAACACCATCAGCACCAACACCAGCTACAACAGGTCTTGCACCAGCTAATCTTGTTCTTCAACTTTTACAATCTAATTTAAGTAATATACCACCAAATGTTCTTGCTCAAGTTCAAGGACAACTTGCTGGTCAAGGTAAAATTTATTATATTATCATTTAATTCAAAAACAAATCTAATTTTTCTTTAGGTTTAACTGCTCAACCTAATCAAGTTCTTCAACAATTAGCTGCACTTCAAGCTGCAACTCAACAACAAACATCAGCTCTACAAACTAATGCTAATCATTCACCAATTTATAATTCAGGTCAAACAAATCCTGCTGTTATTCATCATGCTCTTCAACAACCAACAATAAATGAATCTAGTCAAGCAACAAATACAAATGCATTTCCTCAAGGAGCTCCACCACCATTAAATCTTTTCCCACCAGGTTCAATACCACCAAATGCATTATCAGCTCTATTTAACACTCAACAACAACAATTACCATTTCAATCTGTTAATAATCCATTACCAACAAATTTTCCACTTCCACCATGGATGCAACCAGCTGCTAGTCAAGCTCAAACATTTGCTTTACAACAACAACAACAACAACAACAACAACAACAGCAACTACAACAACAACAACAACAACGTCCATTACTTAATCATCCTCCATTACAAGATGAACAACAATTACGTTTAAGACAACAACATGATTTTAATTCAAATATAACAAATCAATTTCAACAACCATATTCATCTATGAATTCACGTTTAACTCAACAACAACAACAACAACAACAACAACAGCAACGTTCAAAACTTCGTGAACCATATTTACGTGTAAAAAATTTATCAAGAAAATATTCATATCGTGATGTTAAACTTTTATTTGCTGATTATAAATTACGTTTAGAAGATATCAAAATGATTAATGATCAAAATGGTGAACGAACAGGTAAAAAACAAAAAAAAAAAGAAAATTTTTTATTTATTATATTTTGACTAGGTGAATCTGTTGTACAATTTCGTTCAATTGAAGATGCTGATGAAGCATTATCACAATTTAATAATGTTTATTATGGTGGTGCTAATGTACAAATTGTTCCAGCAAGTGAATATGAATTTGCATCAGCACTTGATTCATTTATTCCAGCATCGGTTAAAAAACGACAACCAGAAGGAGGTTATTGTGTTAAAGTTATTGGTAAATAAATTTTTTCATTCTATGAAATTAATACTATTCGTTTTATTTTTATTTTTTTTGTCTTCTAAAGGTTTACCAAAAAATTGGTATAAACGAGATATTCGTCGATTATTTACAGCATCAGAAATTGTTTCTGAAAGAGGAATTTATTTAGATAATGATAGTGATAATAATCAAGGTGGTACTGCTTATATTGAATTTGTTAGTGAAGTTGATCTTGAAAAAGCATTATTTTATCATGATGAACATTATGGTAAAGAGAAAAAAAAACAATTTAATAAATGTATAAAAAATAATTTTATTTTTTGTTAGGTTCATCTCGACTTGAAATTCAACCAATAACAAAAAAAGAAATGGAATCAGAAATAGCATCACTTCGTTCTAAAGATAATCGTCGAAGAGATTATTATGATGGAGAATCAAGATCAAGACCTCGATCACGTTCACGTATATTAAATTTTAATTATATATGTATGTATATATTGAATTGATTATTATAGGTTCTCGATCACGTTCACCTAAAGATCGTGATACACGTCGATATCCACCACGTGATGAAATGAATGGTGATAATAGTGGAGGTTCATATCCTCGACGACCACGTTATAATGAAGGTAAATATTATTTTCTTATTGTCATGTACATGAGAGAAATATGTCGGAGTTAAATTTTAAAAACGTAAAATTAGTATTTACTAATTGTAACTCAGGAGTCACTGACAAAGTTGAGATGTTTTTTTTTTCTAGCGAGAACTCCCGATTGTTCAAAAACAGTACAAAAATGAAAATTTTAGGACCAAGACTGATTGAGACTTCATCTATTTCTCAGTGTGTTCGATCTGTTTAGTTGTATTACACATATCCAGATGAGATCAAATTGAGTTGTTCACAATAAAACTTTCATCTTTGTCAACGACTCCTCAGTTTCGATATGTGCCAATTTTATAGTCAACTCGGACAAATATAATCAGCTATAAGGATAGAGCGCGTATATAGAATGTTTCTTCTTGGACGATCTAAACAGAAAAAAAACAACATGTGTAGAACAATGTCGATATGGCCGCAGTACTTGTAGAAATGTGTCATTCCTATGAAATATATGGCATCACTATGATTCATCAGAGACATAAGAGTGGAGAAAAACAATAAAGTATATTTTGAATGTATTGACGAGAGAAGTTCCCCAACTATTTGATCGCTTTTGAGTCGTGATTATGTACTTCATGTAGACCCTAACGAGCTATACATGCATTGAAAATAATTCGAATCCTTAGCTTGTTGCTTCCGAGATACTGCATTTGTAGTTAATCCCGTAGTCTATCTCAGGAACACAAAGAAAATTTATTTTTGAATTTCGTTTTGAAACTTTAAACAGAGACTGGACTTACCAAGAATAGTTTATTGTGAAAGTTTCAGATGTTTTCGTCGTTTCTATTCTAAGATATAACTATAATAAAATCTTGTCTTTTACACTATTCATACACTCCAATAGAATTAGTGTTCACACTTCAGGAAAGGAGTAAATCAGAAGATCCGACACTTTTACAATAAACTGTTTTCGTTAAGATCTATCTCTGTGCTAAAACAAATTACCTCAGTGTTCCTGAGGAGAACCACATCATTGACTAAAAATTATGAGTTCAAGGTATCGGTATACTGGATGATTTGTTAGCAGACTACTTTTTCCAGTATCCTGTTATATTAGTATGACATAGTATCTTGGTTGAATACTCCACTGAGCATTCTACGAAGAAATTTTTCAACAAATTAATACTAAAAAACTTCATGCTCTATGTTTGGAATGTTAATCTTGTCTTTTTTTTTTGTTTAGAATTACCACCAACAATAACATGTCTTCGTTTACGTAATATTCCATATGCAACACGTGATCATGATGTTAAAACATTTTTTAATGGAATTGAAATAGTTCAAGATGGTATTCTATTTAAATATGATAAAACAGGTCGACCAGCTGGTGAATGTTATGTACGTTTTGGTTCAAGTAATGATTGTCGAAAAGCTTATGAAAAAAATCGTTCACAATTTGGTGGACGAATATTAGAATTACGTCCATTATCATTATGGGAATTTCAAGCAGCTACATCACAAGAACGTGATGAAACAGGTGCAACATTTTCAACAAGTGGTGGTTTAGGTAGACGAGAACAATTTGGTGGTGGACAAATGTATCATAGTGGACCATTAAGTGAAAAACGAAAATTTCCATATGATCGTAATGATGATAATGGAAATACAGGTGAGAAATCTCCATCAGATCAACAACGTTTCGATAGACGTAAAGGTGATTCATCAAGTCCACGTGGTGGTGGCGGTGGTGGTGATGATGATAAATCACCATCAAATATGATTGGAAATTCATCAATGGATGATCAAAATGGACGAAAAATGATGAGAAATAATAATTCATCATTAATACAAAAACAATTAACACAATTACCACCTGGTTATGATCAATATCGTGGACAAGTATTATTAATGTCAAATGTACATTTTCGTGCAACACGTGAAGAAATTTTACAATTTTTACGTTCATTTCATCCAATTGAAGATACATTAAAAATTCATCGAGATAGTTCTGGACGACCAACAGGACATGCTGTTGTTGCTTTAACAAATGCTGAAGATGTACCACAAGCACTTAAAGAACTTAATAATTCATTTTTTCTTCTAAGAAAAATATCCGTTTGTGTTGTTTAATGGATTAGTTATTTGGTTTTTTTTTGTCTGTTCTTGAATGTACAAACTCTATTTCCTTTTATTTTTCTCTCATTGACCTTTATTGTTGTCACTACTTTTCATGATGTAGAACGTATATGTGTATGGGATCAACATTTTTGTTTTTCTTTATTCTGTTAAGTCGAAAAAAAAAAGACAATATCTAGAGCGATCATATATATATATATATACATATATATACATATTCCTTTCTTGTTTGTCACTTTTTTCTTGTTCGTGTTGTTCTTTACTCATCTTTTTTTTCTTTCTTATGCCAAGTAGAAGAAGAGAATAAAGATTAAACAAAAGAATAATATAAGAATTTTTTTTTTCTACTGAACTTAGAATTAATATTGCAATATTAAGGCACAGGTTAAATTGAACAAATTCACAAATTCGTTCTACAATTATTCGATAGAGAATTTTCGTTCGTTATAATTTGTCTTTGTTTTTTTAAATAATATTTTCTTGTTAGAACGGAATTCAAAAAGATTAATGTGTACTCAATCGTGTACAGCCCTGACTATCAAAACAAAGCGGAAAATTTTCTTAAATATGTCAGAAAAAAAATTGATGTGGAAACATTTGAAAAGCTTTTTTTTAATCGGATTATGTCACTATTATTTCTTTTTAAATCGATTAGAAGAAATTTTGTTTACACTTCAGCTTTACACCCACACAATTTTGTTCACAATTGACTTCTGTATCTGACAGCATGATTCTCAAAAATGTATCTAAATTAGACATGTGTGGGATCAAGTTTTTTTGATCTCGGCCTCGACCGGAGTCATTGGTGAATCTGGCGTGTTCCTGATTCTGGTAGACTTTTCCCAATGATGCCACACATGTCTACTCAAGTACAACAGCTACTCAAAAAAATCATGCTATTAAATAGAAATTTAGTTTATTTAATATGATTTTGTGAATCAAGTTAGAAGAGAGAACTCGATCATTTATTTCACGTAATGTGTATTATTAAAAGACCTATCCCAGTCATAATCATAAACAGAAGAAGGACGATTCTTTAAAGATGATGAAGCGATGTTCAATGAACAAATATAATCAGACGATAACTAAGATATATTTTAGTGTTCATAATGATGGAACTGTTTATTTTTTTAAGTAGACATGTATAAGAGTATGATTTGTTTATTCATTAAGACTTAATATTTACAGATTTTATTTGTATTTATATCGTCTTGTTTATCATGTTGTGTTTTTTCTACATTGCAAGATATTAGCATCAAAATAATAAATTGATTTATGATGTACGAAAAACTTCACTTAAAAAATCATACGGTCTCGGATTTTGGTCTCACATATATCTAGTCCAAATATAGTATTATATGCTACCTCCAAGTCTGTTTCTCCTTAAAGATAGTATTGGCAACCTTAGAAAGGTCGTGAAAGTATAGAACATGAAATTTTCTATCCATTAATGCAAAATATTTCATTCATGGGAACGACCTTGATGAGTAAAGATTTGCACAAATCGATGAATATTTGAAAACAATTCAAAACCGCACATAGACAATCCTATAGATGTTAATTTTTTGAATGAAAAGAAAATGTTCTTTGAAAAATAAAGACAGCAGTTTTGTACAGTGAAAAATTCTGTATCGAATGAGTATAGAACGAATTTCTAATATGTTTCGTAAAAAAATACCAAAAATGATTTTATTCCATTTTATTTACGCTACCCGTAAATACAGGTCCCATTAATGTTTTCAAGCGCATATTTCACCTATGCATAAGTATAGGTTAACCGAGATAAGCGATAAAATTTCAATAAAAAGAACAATCCTTGAGACGTTGTATTAATTAAATATAAGGCCAAAAGCTTCAAATCATTGATGAAACCGTCATAAAGCATATCTAGAAAAGAGTTCGAGTCTCTGCCATTTTCAAGCAAAAGTTGAAGGCTTTTTCAATCAAAACTGCTTTTGTGACTACTTCCTATCTAACTAGCGCAACTACCAACGATAAAAAAAAAGACCTTTTCCAAAAAACAGTTGAATACCTATGAAGTTACCCAGTAACTATTTTTTAATGGTTTCTTTCTGTCTTCTTTGATCATTTGAAACCTTTGCGAAGATGATCCATCTACATTTTACGAATTCACATTTACATTGTCTTCCTGCAAATTACTTCAATACGTCATTCTATCTGAAATAAACACAACGATACTTTCAATATATAAGAATTGTCAACAATCTATCAGAATATACTCATTAGAAAATTTGATGTTGTAAAAATACATTTCAGTCTTGAAAATGATCACAATCTTCGAAGCAAGCATCATCAGTTCAAACCTTCTTAGAATCATGTCCCCAACATATGAACAGCATATCATTGAAAACAGTGTGGATATGTTGGAGATCTTTCCTCATAAGTATCATACAAAAAAAATCATCGCTTTCTCTCTCTCTCTCTCTCTCTCTCTATTTATAATTCAATTATGTTCACTTTCTATTTACATTAGAGATAAATTTCTTTTATCAATTATTCCGATTGATTGTAATCTTGTCTTTTTCATGCTCAATATAAAAAGTCATAAAAATTCTAATCGATGATTATTTTTTAACAATCACACCTATTGATGGATCATAATTCAATGTTTTAATTTTATAGAAGAGAATTTATAACATATGCACACAGATTGATATAACTATTTTATTTTTCGACAAACAGGTGCACTCCCACGAGTCACATCAACAGCAGTAGACCGATCATCCTTGAAGGAAAAATGTCCATTTTTGATTACATATTGTACATAGTAGTCAGCTGCCTACCTATCCATATACACACGTATACATCTATTGACAATTGATTGTACTTTTCAAAAAAAAACTTAACAGACGTTTGATCTGTGATCTATAACTGAAATAATATCAGTATACATTTTTTTATTGTTAGTTTTTCAAAGTAACCGACCTTGATCATAAACAACTAGGCTAATACATCTGCTCAATTAGACAAACAAAAAAAAAACGGAAATAAGTCGTATTAGTTTTCTTTTTGTGTGAGTCTGGAACAAAAAGAAAAACAATATATATATATATATATACATTTAGGGTAAATTTCATATTATTTTCTCAATAGACTTCCAATTGCAATATGATATGATCATGATCACCGCAGGGGTATTGACATCTAATTTTCTTTTTTACTTCTTTGTTAAGTATTGTACTTAATATGTATTTGAACTTATTATTTGACTACACGGTTGGTGATTTGACCGTTAAGGTATAGTAATAATCATTATATGATTATATTATATGTATTGTAGAATCACCACATGCGTATATATCACAAGGATAAAATATTGACAGACGCGTTTACATACAATGATGACTTCTTATGTTCATACATGCTGCGTTTTTAACGCACAATTGACATTTACTAACACATTAGGAGGTTCATGATGCAACTTAATGATTATTTTTATTCAGACACCAGCTATTTTAATCAATAATTAAAAAGAAAAAGAAAAAAAGTGAAGAGAAATATTTTTCTTTTTTTAAATCAAAAAAATAATATTTATCTATTTTTTCTATAGGAATTCTCTTGTTGATATGTAATATTATAACAGGATGTGTTTCCGCTTTTGAACATGTCTCAATGATGGACGATAATGGGTGTATACGCTTGTGTTCCTTTTGCCATCTATGAAGGTCGTACAAACATGTGTGACTGAACTTTGCTGTGCTTCATAGAGTCTGTTATAGGCTCCCTTTTTTTCTCTTTTTTTCCCCCTTCTTCTTTCTCTTAATATATATATATATATACGAGAATGACACTATGTTCAGAAGATTTGATTAGTTTCTTTTTCTATATATATCGATTAACGAATCAATTTGACCAGAACAAAAGACAGAGTTGATATCTAGTGATGAGAAGAATATACTGCTGTTGTTTCATCTTTTGCTTCTTATATTACATATTAAGTCTGATTTTTCTTTCTTGTCAAATCCATTGTGGTTCATATGTGTCTTACGTAAGATTAATTTTTTTAGCTCGATCGATTCTCAATGGATGTCGTTCACCTATTTCTTTTTTTCTTCTTTTTTTTTTCTTTTAAAATTATTATGATTGGAAATAACACGCAAGGTTGATCAACTTTTCAATATGTCCTCATTGATTAACTATCGTTTCTTTTTTTTTCTCTTCTTTTTCTTCATTATTATTATTATTAATCTTTCTACACTTTTTTTTCTTTCGATTGAATTTTCATCTCACATTTCTTCATAATACATAAATCCTTTATGTCGTCTAGGTAAAATATAATAGCTTTCGTATACATGCATCATTAGCCATCTATATGTTATGTTGCATGTGTCAATTTCATCTTAATCTCGGAAGTAAAATTTACTTGAAAGCTCTTCCCTTATGTCAGACATGCAATATTGCACTATTCTAAGAGTTCTTATGTTCACTAGTATGATTATGTGTATGTGTATGTGTATACATATATATAGCTTGATGACATCCTATCAATTAGAGCTTAATTGTTCTTCGTTTATTTTGACTAGTTATTATACGCGTGTCCGTCTGTGATCACTCCCATATATCAATAATCATTGCACAAGCTCAGAAAGAAAACGACTACTAGAACACCTAACATATGTATCATAAATCTCTAATAGATGTTGTTCAAAGAGATGGTTATTATCTATAATAGTAAGTAGATTTCTTTACATATGGCTCTATTTTCACGTCGATAGGCAACCCAAAATAAAAAGAAACGAAGGAAAAGATAAACAGACGGTTGCATTCGCAAGAAATAAACAGAGTACACTTTAAATAAAACAGATCATCTTCTGTATAGATAATTATAAAAACAAAACAATAGAAATGAATTGTATTTTTCTATTCTCGTGTCAAGTTTTCTTTTTCTTTAACATATATAGGCTATTTCCATTTTTATTACATAAAATCATTGTGTCTCTTAATGTGATGAACGAGTAAATACAATTGACCAAAATCACTTAGAGATAAGAGTTTCAATCGAAGAGATTGTATAATTGCGTGACAATGATGTTCAAATAAAACCAATTGAATAGAAAAGAAATCTCATCTATCTATACATATAGATGAATACTTTTGAAGAAATTACAAAAATTCTATTGAGATTTGTTTCTTATAATGAATAAATAATAAGAAAAAAGTCTCTAAATTCATATGACTACTTTTTCACATAAAGGTAATAGTTCATCTACCTTTCTTTTTTCTAGATCAATATATATGTATGTATGTACGTTGATTTTTCTAATGAAAATGCTGGTAAATTTATTCATATTGATAATATTTTTTATTCCATATTCATATTCAATTGTATCACAAATTTTAACACCCGTATCAATATTTGAAGAAAGTCCAATATCAACAATTGTTGTTGATCTTCGACCAACATTTCAAATTCTTGGTGTACATCCTGATCAAGCTGTATTACTTCATAGTCAACCAAGTCAACCATTTGAATATATAAATGGACGTATACGTTTAAAATCTCGTTTAGATCGTGAAGATTATGTACGAAAACGTTTATGTATTGGTGGAAATGTTCTTGAATGTAATTTTACATTAACATTAACAGTTAATCTTAATCAAGCACCATTTAATTATATATTATCTCAACCAATATCTTGTCATGATATAAATGATATTATACCAAAATTTTCTCAAATAGAATCAAAAATTCTCATGGCTGAAAATGTTCCTATTGGACATCGAATACCACTTGAAATAGCTATTGATTTAGATTCACCACCATATGGTATTGATTATTATCGTTTAGTTACATATGATAATAATGAACAAAATCAATTTTCTATTATATATGATAATCAAAGTCGTGAATTAGAATTAATTGTTAATGATAAATTAGATAGAGAAAAAATTGATAAATTTATTTTTAAATTAATGGCTATTGATCGTGGACATCCACCTAATATAGGTACACAAATATTAATAATTCAAATTAGGTAAAAGAAAAATAAAAACAACAATAACAACAACAAAAAAAAAAAAAACGTTATTTTTTTTCTTTTGTTTCAGTGATATTAATGATTCTCGACCAAGATTTGAATCATCTGTTTATAATATAAGTGTTGCTGAAAATACATTACCAGAATATTTACTTAAAATTCGTGCTATTGATGCTGATATAGGTTTAAATGCTGAATTAACATATATACTTGAAAATGATCATCATGGTCTTTTTCGTTTGGATAAAACAACTGGTATATTAACATTAACACATTCACTTGATTATGAATTATATACATCATATCAACTTAAAGTTGAAGTACATGATAATGGAATAAATTCATTAAGTGATGCGTGTATTATTAATATATTTGTACTTGATCAAAATGATCATGCACCTTCAATTCAAATGAAATTTAATCCAATGTTTGAATATAATCAAGATGGAAGTATGGCATATATACCTGAATCTTTTGATATTAATTTACCAATAGCTTTTGTTAGTGTATATGATCAAGATTCAGGAGATTATGGAAAGGTATTTAAGAAATTTATTTTTAAATGAATGATTGACGAATGTATTTATTAAGATTCAGCTAATTAATTCATTAAGATATATTTGATTGATAGAATTTGAGTAAATCTTTTATTTATTTGTCACCATGATTGAGTGACTACGTTGTTGGGTACATCTCCTCGAAATGCTGTATTCAAACCTCAGTACCACCAACTATGAAATGACTCTGAACGAGTTACTAATGGCTATTTGTCTCGAACCATCCATTCGATAGCATGCTGACTACATTGTCACATACACCTGCTCTTGTGATTAGTTAGTATGTATGGGAAGTTGAAACAATTGAGCGCAAGAACTCTGCGACAGATCGGTTTTCTGTCCCGAACTACAACTAGTCATTACTAATTCGGAGAATATTTTTGCACCTTAGTACTGTCAACTTCAGAAAATAATGATGTTTGACTATTTTCTGAATAACTTTTGATAGAAAGTGAATAATGAGCTATGGTTTTTACCATGCAAAAGAAAAGTATTAGGAGGTATAAAACGAGAATGATTGTCTAGAAATTTTTTTTCATTGTATTTTGATTTTACTCATTCATTCTACAGTCTACGAAACAGCTCAAGATAGCAGCAATATACTACGTTGAGTCCAGTGGTGATGTTTGTTCTCAGTTTCAATGTAAATCTAAGTCATTTAATCACAATGTTTGAAATGTATTCCAGAAGTCATATGATGTCAAAAAATGACGTTTCCAAACTTTATCGCTGAACTTAACGTAGTTCATTTCTCTTTTCTTGACTTGTTTTGAGATGACTCGAAATCAGTTCTTCAAAATCAAGAATCTTTACAAATTCTTTTATAACTGATGAATGGTGTAAATTCTCAGTCTTGCGTAGATTTGTAGAACCTGAGCTGCTCTTTACAAATAAAAGCGAATAATATCGAAATACAATAAAAAAATTTTCTAGACAATTATTCTCAAATATCTTCAGCAAAAATTCATCGAATCAATTATCTTCAAACCAATCGAATATAATATAGTTTTATATCCCCTAACATTTCTCTTTTAAATAATAAAAATCAAAGCTCGCTACGCGCTTCCGATCAAAAGTTATTTAAAAAAACAATCGTACTCATTATTTGCTTGCAAAACGGCAGTAGTAATAGAATAACTATGGTGTTGACAGAGGAAGGAGGCAGTTTAATATGCCGGGACTCTGTTTGTTGTAAGGACTTGTGACAAAGTCTAACTAGCATAAATTCGATCAGTGGGAGAGAAAGGTACATTCCCTTTCCCTACGTCACCACGTTCTCGAATACTCATAATCTTTCTTAAACTGTTGTCAGTAGAATCTGTAAAGGATTTGTTTTCTATATGATTCATTTCAATTTGTTAAATAAATCGTATCAGAATTATTTTGTATAAACATTAAGGCGGTTTCGAATTATATTAATTACTTATTTTTATCGTTATGTACATGAATGTTGACTAGCCGTTGTAAATGATTATATTTTTTCTTTAGTCTCAATTAACAATTCAACCAAATCGTTTATTTTATCTTGAAATTATACGTGTAAATTATTATTCAATAAAAGCTATACGTCGATTTGATCGTGAAATAGTATCATCATATCGTATTGAATTATATGCACGTGATTTTGGTCAACCAAGTTTACGTCGTTCAATGACATTTGAATTAAATATAACTGATGTTAATGATGAAAAACCAATATTTAAAAGTAATTATACATTTGATATAATGGAAAATAATCAAATTCCAAGTATTATTGGTGAAGTTAATGCTTATGATGTTGATCAAGGTCTAAATGGACAAATAAAATATTCAATAATACCTCCATCATCATATTTTTCTATATCATCAATTGATGGTATTATATCAACAAATATTTCATTTGATTATGAATTAAAACGTGAATATAATTTTCAAGTACGAGCACGTGATTATGGTAAACCTCCACTTGAATCAATAACTTATGTAAAAATTAATATACTTAATCAAAATGAATATACACCTGAATTTGAGAAGAAAATATATAGATTTTCTATTTATGAAAATTTAACAAATAATACAATAGCATTTATTGGACAAGTTAAAGCATATGATCGAGATTATGGAGATTATATTAATTATTCATTAAATGATAATGAAAATTTATTTACTATTGATCAAAATGGAAATATTTGGAGTGAAACAATATTCGATAGAGAAATACAAGATGAATATCAATTAAAAGTTAGTGCAACAGATAATTCAACAACTGGATTAGTTGGATCAACTACTGTTATTATTAAAATCAAGTAAAATTTCTTTTTTTTTGTCTTCTTCTATGCAGTCTAACACAAATTCGAATTCATCGGGTTCAGAAATTTTGGATCCCTAGACATAGTTTAGTGAACGTTTTTTCGATCCAAAACCAACCTGACGGATTTCACTCCTAATTCCTTCCTAATTGTCAATTAAGATAGATTGTTCCATTTTAATTGTTTCCGAATCGGACTCTGATTAATCTTTTAATCAAGATTAGAAGTGTAAGTCGATTGACTGAGTCACCGCCGACGCTACCACCATGACAAAAAAATAGATGTTCGATTTTCAAAATTTTCCAACATTCCAAATCATTTTTTGAAGATGCTATCGTCTGATTTCTCGTCAATAAATTCTCTATCATCGTCTTCTCTCTTTTTTCACTTCACAGTTTCTCGAAATTAAGAAAATTTTTTAAAAATTCATTGAAAAATTTCAGTCGCTGATCAGTATATCGGCTTACATCTCTTATCAAGATCAATGAGGATAACAATTAAGATCGAGAGTATATATAAAACTTGTATCTCGTAAGATAACTATCTACAATTTAAATTCATCAGCTGTCGTACAACGCCAAATATCGATCTATTTCAAGCATATGAGAACGAAGAGCTTGACAAAATATTATTCTGCCCATTAAATCCGTCGTACAGTAAAAATTTCCTTCGCGAAGAAATATTACTTATGTGACTTATTCTTTCAACAGACATGAAAAAACAATAAACTATCTTTGTTATCCATTTCGCTTATTATAATTAGTTAGTAAATAAGAACCAAATTAAGGATGAACTAAACCCAGAAAAAAAAATAATTAAGTTTGAGACAAATCAATCGGAGATTAGTTTGTAGGACATCTTCTATACAAAAAAAAAAAAAGTTTTTTTTTTTTTGTTATAGAGATGTTAATGATAATTATCCAATATTTATTTGGCCTGATACTGATGAAATTCGTCATGTTCTATCTGATGATCATTCTCAACGTATTGATTCAAATAATCCTTTATCACAATTTTTAACTGATATTGTTGTACAAGATAATGATATAGAAAATAATTCATTAATTCAATTAATTATTTCAAATAATGATTTATTTTATATTGGTTCAAATAATTCATTATGGTTACGTAATTCATCAATATTACCTGGTACATATGATATTGAAATTGAAGCAAAAAATATTGATTTAATAACAAAAAAATTTTTACATATTATTATTTATGATCGTAGTCCATTTAAATTAAATTTATTTAATAATATGCGTCGAACATTTTCACGTTTTTCATTATTAATTATAATTATTTTGTCATTTTTAGCAACAGGTTCAACAATATCTATACTTATTTATTATTTATGGATACGTTTACATTATACATCTGATGTACAAAAACATTTATATGGAAGTCGATTAATTGTTAATGATGAAGATAAATCAAAACAAAATAGTCCACAAACAAAAATGAATATTTTATCAACAAATCATAATCATGATTATGCAGTTATTAATAAACAAAGAAAAGTATGTTCAATTTATAACGATAAGAATAGAATGTTCATTCGGCACTTTTTTTTTGTTTCCTCCGAAAACTAATGATCTTTATTTAACATCTGTATATGTAGACGCAATCGAGTGATGATGATTAGTTTTGCTCAATAGAGCATATGACTATAGTTCAGACTGATGATGTATGAAATAATGACCTTCTCTTTATGTTAACCAGATCGAGTTTGATCAGTGAGAAAATAAAACTCATTACAGACAGAAAATGTCTTTCTATAAAGAAATGTTAATAATCTTAGACAAAATTATTTTTTCTATAATATTTAAAAATCTTGTTTTCTTTTTTTTTTAAGAATTCTCAAATTCCATCTGGTAATAGTTTTTCAACAACTGATGGTGATTTTTCTTCATCACTTCTTTCTTGTCCTTTAAATGGTATATCTTTATCAACAACTGATCTAAACTCATCAAATAAAAATCTTCCATCATCAACAGTATCTGCATTAGCAACTTTAACAAGAAAATCATCACGTCGTTATCAAACAAAAAATGTTAGTTTTGAACCAACATTAACCAATCCAACAAATAATTTATTTGATGATTTATTTCAACATAATTTAACATGTTTTCATGAAAATACACCATCAACATTTAGTACATTACCAAAATCGATTAAACATGATCTATCAACATTATCAATAAATAAACATCAACCAAGTCTTAATGATTTACCACGAAATCAATCAAATAATTTTCCAACATTACAAACTGTTCTTAATCAATCATTAAGAAATAGTCAAACCAAATTACCACATCCACCGCCATTACTTAATGGAATTCTTTTACTTGATCAAATGCTTACAAGTTCAACAACACCAAATGATGAAAGAACTCAAACATTATCATCATCAACAGCTAGTAATAGCGGATGGTATAATGTCACATCTAATTATCAGACAAGAGCTAGCATTGTATAATAAATATTGCATGTTTGTGTGCGTGTGTGTGTGTGTGTGTTTACTAGTCGTTGTCTTTTTTTCTCGTCTTATCGTTGCTTTTTTTTGTAAAGGGATTTGTTTGGAAAAGAACAATAATAATAATAATAATGACTGTTGCTTTTGTGCGTGAATCAAATATTCGAATGAAAAGACTTTTTTCAATTTGAAAATGAACGATTATTGATTTGTTCAAATAGATTGAACGTTATGAATATTGATCTGTTCTATAAAGAAAATGAGAAGTTTCGAAATGCAGCTCGTTATTTAGAAAAAAGAAAGCTCCGTTTATATATATATATATATTATTGCGTTCATCAGTGCTTTATCTAATGTGTGATTATAAGGACAACGCTTCTTTAAGAATTAATTTTACTCTATCGAGACTCATAATTATTGCGTCGAGAATTGTGAAATTGTTCTTCTGAAAGTATATGTTCGTCTTCTCAAACAGAGAACTTACGAGAAAACTATTCGAATGATACCAGTCATTTGAACTTCTACAAGAATGCCTTGATGAGATTAGCAAAACCCTAACAAGACTCATTTTCGTAGACCTTTGGGAGCAATTTAGGTTCGTTTTATTGAATTTTTTACTCAGCTTTAGGTATAATCAAGTAACAGAAAATCGCTCACCATAAGCATAATACAAAAATCGAGTTTAATTGAAAATTCAAGATCTCAACAAAAAAAAACATTCTTTTCAGCTGAAACTTTCAGGATATTTTAATGATCATTTGAACTATCCATGCGAGAGATTCAGTTACTGGATTTTTCAGTAAATACCTAAAAATGGGTTGAAAATTTAGTAAAATGATCATAACTCGGTTTCAAAGGCTGATGTGAACGAGCCTTTTTAGAATTTTTCTAGTCTCACTCTGGTATCCTATACGAGCTTAAACGACAAGTATCCATTCTGGTGATTCCTTCGTTAGATGTGATACTACTGAGATTAATTTCTAGCATAGATAGCCGATGAGTAGAGCCCATCAGGTTGGTCCTGAATCCGAATTTGAAAATTTTCGACTTGCCGGACTCTACCGATGACACTGATATCGATCCTAATTTCACCTGTAGAAACATTTTTTTCGACTATTCAATTTCACTTTCAAATCTGATTTATGTACATAAACTTTCAAAACAGACAATTGAAACATAAATTGATTGTTAATCTCATTTTATCTTAAAATAATCAACTGGATTTCGAAATTTTATCTTTTTTCCGATCATAAACTGTTTTTAAAAAAATTTCTCAACAAGAGATATTTTACATTACATCGAACACTTTAAATTTTATTTCAAATATATATATATATAATTATGAGAATATGGTAATAACTTCTCTACCACCTCCTTTAACAAGTATACATCGATAAATTCCTTCACATAATTGATTAACAAATTCAATATATGCATAATCAGCATTAATATTTGTTCTAGGAACTTTAGGTAAATTAATAAGAACTAATTGTGAATGACGTGATCGTTCAAGAATTGTTTGATTAAGACGAGCTGCTGAATGCATTTTTTTTCGTACTTGTAAATCTTCCATAAGTGTATATGTTAAATAATTTCCTTTCATTGATTGAATAGATGATGGTGTAAATGTATATTGAATATGATCACTATCTAAAAGAAAGATAAGAAAACAAAACAAAACAAAGTTTTAAATTCTTTTTTTTTTTTGTTTTATATTAAATTTACTTGCTGGATAATTTTGAAATATGTCTTGTAAATATTTTTCTTTTTCAATATTAATATGTTTTTCATTTATATCAAATGGATTAAAAAATTTTGAATTTTTTGTTGTCATTGTTCGATATTTTGTAAATGCTGATATTTCTTGATCATCAACAATAACAGCATGTACTTCAGCTTGTATACGTAATTGATAAACATATTGTTCAAGTTCACGTTTTTGTATTTGTGGTTCTTGATTAGGTAAACATATTGTAAATAAACGTAATATACATTTATTCCAAATATGATGTTGTTGTAAAAGAAATGCTAATAAAAATAATAAACCACCATCATGTATTATCCACCAAATATCAATATAACCAGTTTGTATATCTAATAAACTTGGATATGAATCAATATTTTTAAGAAGTAATATAGCAAAATTTTTATTTTCAGCAAGACGTATAGAATCAAGATAAGATACAATTGTATCATCGATATGTCCATCGATTTGATATTTTTGCCATGATGTTGGCCAATCTGTGGAAATTTTTTATTTGAAAGAAAAAGAAAAAAAAAATTTTCTAGAGAAAATACTTACCAAACATAACCTAAACGAGAAAAAAATTCAAATATAATATTTTTAAAGAAAAATAGTAAATTTTTCGTTAACTTCAATATTATCTATATTTTTTTGTATTAGAATATAAAGAATCTTACAGAAGATAAATAGAACATTTGAAAAAAACCTTCGTCCGAGTCTCCTGAAAACCATAGTTAGAGTGTCAGTGTTCTATTTACTATTAAAAATCGGTCAGTTTATGAAGCCATTCCTCAACTGATTACAAATAGTGGTTTCAAATACATTCTCTTTTTTTCGTAATTCTTCACGAAAGAAAGTCATACTGCACTTCTTCAAATCTATAACCTTCAGAAAAATTAGAATGTATGACATTACTGCATTAAGGAAAAAAAAAGAGGCCTTCGCCGAAACTTGTTTTTCTGTACTACCACTATTAATATTTTTTTTTGCTCAGATTTTATAGAAAAACTGAATGCTGTTTTGTTTTTAAACAAAAATCTACAGTTCAATCTGTTGTCTGACTAAACATCAGTATATTAAATGAAGAAGTCAAATAAGGTAAATTAATTTTAATCGGTTTTTTTAGAGAATAAAAAAAATAAGAATACTAAACAAAAATAAATTGATATTTTGAAATGATATCATTTTATTATTTTTATTAAAGCACTAAGCTCTACTCTCTAGATGTGTCGATAAAGAAAATCGACATAGTTAGATCATTTTTTAAACCATTTCAGTTATTTCCACCGATCCAGTCCGATTATAACAATGTTATACACACCAAGCGAAAGATATATTTAACAAAAACATTCGTAGTTTTGTAGTGAGTTTTCTTAGTGAATATGCTAGTAAAAGAAACTCATATTATAATGTGAAATACAACATTATCGATTATCGCAATTCAAAGATCAGAATTGAGATACTAAGAAAATAAACAGAGATTCCCAAGTTTGAATCAGTATTTTCTTGTATTACTTCTAAAAAAAACAAACTCTAATTTTATACCGTATTTGGACGAAATCCACCAACACCACTAGTTTGCATTAATGAATTAATTCCATCATAAACATCATTAGCAACAAGTACATCAATAAATCCATTTAAAATTTTATGTGTAATCATTTGTTCTTTTAAATAATGACGTAATTTTTCAGCTATATCTCGTTTTTCATCATATTTACCTAGATTAAACTTTATATTTTATTTATTTCGCAAAGAAAGAAAAAAATTAGCATAAAACAATAGATCAAACCTTTTATAACTGTTGCTAAAATAATAAGACCTTTTCCAGCTTTTAACTGACTTAATAAATCAAGTACTTTTTCATGTTCAATCATCCATCGATGTTGATTTTCATTATAAATACATTTAATAAAAGCTAAAATTTGTGGTCGAAAATTTTTTGTATGCATTGGTCGATCATCCAAACGTGATAAAGCTACATGTGCTATTGACATTGGTAAACCTTTTAAACCTTCACCCCATTCTTTATTAGCACCAGCATACCATATATAAATATACACAATTATACCAATAGCTAAACTTATTAATGCTATATACCATGACGATATAAGCATTATTGCAATACAAACAATAACACCAAGAAGTGATAATAACCAATGATAAAAACGAAAACGTGGTCGCCATGATGGTTCATCTGAGAAATTTTCAAAAACAAAAAAAAAGTTTTTTTAATTATTAGAATTATAAAATCTTACGTAAAAATGTTTGAAGAATACAAACAAGATTAACTGATAAATAACACATAAGAAAAAATTCAGAAACCATGGCTAAATCAATAAAAATAACAAAAAACAAAATGAAAATTTTCTTTAAGAGAAAAAAAAATCAAATTAACATACTTGTCACTATATCAAAATTAGCTATAAGTACACTTATTTCAGATAAAACTAATGTAAATAGTAAAGCTTTAAATGGTTCATCTCGAAATGTTGATTGAAATGGTTTTAATATTGGCATAATATCATCTTTAGCTACTGATTGTAACAAGCGTGGAGCACCAACCAAACTGAATTTTCGAATAGAAAAATTTATTTTTACAATAAACTTCTGTCCACAAACGACGATCCCAAATCTTCTATTATGTGATATTTACTTTCATAATTTTTAATTAAAAAAGTTTCTCAAAAACAAAAAAAACAAAATGATCTTAAATATTTTTAGGGTTTTAAAATTCTAGAAATAATATTGACTACAGTCATTTTGCAAGAAATTATCTATTAATGGAAATCTTCTATTACGAGAGAAAAGGTTTAGTTGAATTCTCCTTACCATTGTAATCCAGCACCAAAACAAGCACATAATGCTCCAGTAATGATAATATAAGGTGATGGCCAAGCAATAACTGCTTCGACAAGTTGTTGATTAATACTTAAACCATCACGATCACGTAAAAGTACACCTTGAATAGAACAAGCAAGAAGAAATGCTAGAAGAATATATATAAATGATGTTGTTATAACGGCCACTAAAATATAAAATAAACAAAAAAAAAAAATCTTGGAAAACAAAATCTTACAAATCGTTCCTCGTGATATTGATTGATTTGGATCTTTTAAATCTCCACTTCTATTTGAACCTGCCATAATACCTGTTACACTAGGAAAGAAAATTCCAACTAGAATCAAAAACACATTTTATCAATGATTTTATTTCCTTTTTTTTTTTGTTCACTTACTTAAAATAAATAACGATGTTGTTGTTTTACTAACAACTTCTAATTTTGAATCACCTAAATCAAACATTTATCTTCTTTGAGAAACAAAAACAGAATCCTTCCTCAATCAAACCTATAATTTCATTATCAATTTCTCCTTCTTTCATATACATTGATTTTAAATTATTTCTAAATTGTGAATATTTCAAACCAGGTATTCCATTGATTAAATAAACATTATTTATATCATTACAATTTATATTTTTACTTATATTATTTATACATAAAATTTGTTGAAGTGGACATATTTCTCCATTACATGTTATATTTGAATGACAATAACGAATAACATTATTTTTTAATATTGATGATTTAATTAAATGTTTTATATTATCTTTTTCAATAATACATATTGGTAAATAAGTAGGTGATATCGTACTTTTTATTATACCAAGTAGAATCGATATAATAGAAAGAAAAACAACAAGTAAAGTAAATGGTGCTAAAAGAAAATTTTCTAATTCTACTAATTCATAATAAATTTATTCAATTACCTATACGTGAAACAATTTTTATACCAAGAAAAACAACTAAACCAAGAATAAAAAGTAAAATTGTACCATATATACGATAATGATTAAATGAACTTTGTTGATTTTCAATAGGTGGACCAAATAAATGACATCTAAAATATTCATTTAATTATTTCAAAAAACAAAAATGTAAAAAAAGCAAAAAAACAGAAATTTACTTATGCGGACATGTATATTTTAAAAGAATTTCACTTGCACCTAATACATACAAACCACCAGCTAAAGCATTACCTATATAAAATAAAAGTCCCACAGCTCCACCAACAGCTGGACCTAACGATCTTGATATAAGAAAATAAGAACCACCTGCTGGTACAATTCCATTAGTTGCAACTAAAAATATACAAAAAAAAACAACAAGTGTCAATGGATTTTTTTGTTTTCTCTCAACATGAATTTTCTTACTTGCAGCTAATGAAATAGCTGTAAGAAAAGTACATAAACAACAAAGACCAATAATAGTCATTCCTTGAATAATTCCACTTACACCAATAACCCAATAAAGTCGAATAAAAATAATAACACCAATAATATTTTGTACACATGGTAGATAAACACCGAACAATGTATTTAATTGAGCATTTGATGATGAATTAGTTAAATCATTAACAATAGGCATAAATGTTCCACCTTGATAATCATATAAATTTTTAAGAAAACTAACTCCTTTTTCACCAACTAATTCTGTTTCAACAATATTTTCATTTTCTTTTGATTTTATCGGTTGAATTGATGGTAATGATTGTTGTGATATTGATTTTGTATGTAAATTATGTTGATATTGTGTTTGTGTTGCAGAAATCGATGGAACTATTAAATATTATATAGTCAAAAAAGAGAAAACAAATTTTTTTTTTCGTTTTTTCAATTTAATACCTTCATCAGTCTCATCAAAATGAATAACTTTGAAACGACCTTTATTTTCTGTAATAGATTCTGTACTATTTAAATTTATTATATCTGATGTAGCAGTAAAAAAACTATCTATACTCATTGTAAATAATTACATCATATATTCATTAACATTCATTCAAGATTTTCAATAGATCATTTCCTACAGATGTCTCTGAATATCATTTTATTGATTAGCGACATTTATATGTTAAAGATCAAATACGAAACGAACAGTTGCCAAGCATCAATCTATACGAATGGCAAAAGTTTATCTTCATTCATTTTTCTTCTTCATTTCATCATGACACAAATTGTTTCATCAAAACCTTTTTGTCTTGAAAATTCTACTCAATTAACTCGACCTGCTTCCGATGCATTCTATCGTATTGATGGTAGTAATGAACCGACAATCATTGATAAACATCAAGCAAAACGTCTCTATCGTCTTCAAAGAACACCAAATGTAAATACTCATCTTCATTTGGATAGTTCTGATGTTGGTTATGAAACACAAGGATATTTTGAAAATATTGTGCGTAAACAAGTTGAAGAAAGTTCTACACAACCAATAAAATCAGTATATCATCCACCAACAGATATGTCGAATATATCAATGAAAAAATTTTCACTTGGAAAAGCTCGTCTTGATCCTCAACATATTATACCAAGTAAAATGACAACAATACGTGATCATCCAACTGCTATTACGATACTTCGGTAGAATAAAATTTCAAATAAATTCGATTGAAATTTTCTTCTTTTTTTATTGTCAGACATGAACAAGGTCCAAGTGGTGAAATTGTACCACGTTTTACTCATCGATTAGTTTTAGATGGACCACTTCGTGGTCGATTAGGTCCAGGAGGTCAATATTTATTTTCTTTCTTTTTCCTCAGTTCTTCAAAACAAAAAATGTTTTATCTTTTTATATAGGTACTTTAAATTCTGAAGAAGATTGTAAAGAAGCTGAAAATTATCTTCGAAGTCAAGGTCGTTTATCAGCACCTTCAACTCTAACTTATAATCCAAGTACACAACAACAATATGTTAGTACGCAAATGAAACGTGATGAACTTGCTCGTCATTTTATGTACACATCAACTCAACAAGCTGCTTTTGATGAAGTACCATGGGGTTAGTTCATACAGATAATTATTTCATTGATTAAAAATTCTCTTTTTTTTCTTTTTACTTATAGATTCTAAATTACCATCTAAATTATCTGTTCCATTAACAACGTATGAAGCTAATGGAAGTGATCCTGTATTAAAATCTAAACATTTAACATCACTTCATGATGCTCGTACACGTAAAATTCTTGAATGGGATCGTATACAATTACGAAATACTAATTTCTATCGAAAACCTATTGATAATGTTGCACCATTACCACGTGCACAACAAATATCTGGTTATTCAGGTTCAATTGGTGGCTATCATATACAAGACATTGATAATCCAACAGTTGATTTTAAACCATATACTGTAGTACGTAGTGAACAACCGAAATTTGGTATTAATCCATTGTAAGTTTTATCGTATCTGAATTTTTTGTTTTTTTTTTTTTGATGAATAAATTTATTTTTAGTAAAACAAATATTCCTTTCTATACTGGACAAACACATTGGACAAAAGTTGATCCTGTATCACATTATGATAAAGAAGGTCGTGCTTATACAACAACTGCAGCATTTCATAAGTATGAAGCCTACTCGTTCTTTTTTTGTTTTTCTTTCTTCTATATAGTTCTTTTTGTTTTGAGGCCACTTCAAATTGATTATGCATCCTACCGTCATTCTGGTTTAAATGGACAATTATCACGAGCTGTAACAACTGTTATACCACAAAATCCATTTAATCAAATGAATATTAATAGTACAACGGTAAATGCATCATTAGATAGTCGTCCACATATATTAATTCAAAATTTACCAAGTGGTGTATCATCAACAATGAAAGATAATAAAAATGATGAGAAAAAAGAAGAAAAAACTGATAATAATCAAATTCAAAATTAAATCAAATTTTTGTGAACTATTCCTCTTTCTTTTTTTATGGTGCTGTTTATTTTCTATTTTTTAATATTATTTCTTCTTACTTTACTTTTTAAATAAAATCTCGCTTTAATATTTGACTAATGTTAATACATGTAATGATTCAATATTTCAACAATGAATTCTTATTGTTTATTTTTGCAACTCTATTTTTAATTCAAGTCATAGTCTCTTATTATTGATTAAAAATAATCAAAAATGATTGATATAACAGCATTACTTGAAGTCAAAAGTATTGGATGATGATGATTGTATATAGTAAATAGGATGTATTATTCAAAATGATATAGAATTGTTCAATTAAACTAGAATAATTTTATGAAAATTCCTAGGAAGATGGCGCTGTATTTTACTTTGATTATGCCTCAGGTTGCCAGGTTTCGTTTGACATAAATGTCGGATATATGGTGTAAAATAAAAATGTTCGTCTATAAATTCCAACTATTTATTTTAATTGTACATTCCAATGTCACACTTTTTTTTCAAGTGTTAATACAACATGATGAATAATTTTGAAGTTCCATCTGATTTATTCGAAACGAAAGAATCATATAAGACTTCTAAAACTGATACTATACTTTATATTGATAATAACAAAGAAAATGATCTTATTCAATTTATTAGTAAAGTACAACAACAAGGTTTTAATTGTCTTGATCTTTCAAAAAGAAAAATCAAAGAATTTCCTTCTCAACTTCTTGACTTTACATCATTGCAAGTAAATCATTTTAAAAAATAAAATAATATATTAATTTATTAATTCGCGTTCTTGTTTTTTTTCTTAGTATTTATATTTAGAAGGTAATCAATTAACTCAATTACCCAATGATCTTTTTACTCGATTACCAAATTTAAAATGGCTTGATTTACGTAATAATCGATTGATTTCAATACCGAGTCATGATCTCGCTAAACATAATTCTCTTCAATATTTATTATTAAGTGGAAATCATCTTCGAACATTACCTTATGAACTTGGTACAAAGAAAAAAAAAACTTTTTCGTTGAAATTTTTATAGTTCTTTAAATTAATTTTAGGTAAAGTTAAAACATTATCAGCATTAAATCTTGATGGTAATCCATTAGTTCATCCACCATTTGAAATAATTAAACAAGGTATTAAAGCTATACAACAATATTTACGTAATAACCTTGATTCAAACGATAGATCATCATCACCTGATGATGATGATAATAATGACGAAGATGATGATAATCGACAACGAATAAAACAAGTTCCTTCTGATCGTTCATCTTTACTTCATCGAAATACTAAGTATTTTAATAGATACAAAAAAAAAGTGAAATAAATTCCAACGAAAATTAACTCATATCGTCTTTATTTTATCTATAGATCTGAAACAAGCTACTATGAAACAACATCTATAAATCTTTTACCTGCTCATCTTCAATCATGTTTACAATTTAAACGAATGACTTATTCACCGATACGTCCTTCACCACCAATTAGATCACGGCCACAATCTGAGATGAGATTATCTCATATGTATGTTACATATTCTCTCACGAATTGAATTCTCCACATTATATAAACTCAAGCGAGTAATAAATACTATGAAAAGAGTTCGTATATTTAATGTATTGCTGCGAAAGTACTGCACTTATGCGATATTTTTAAAATGAATGTTGTGGTAACAAAAATATCTCACAGGGATTGCGCTAACAACTTTTTTGCTAAATATTTCATATCTTGTTCCTATTCCTATCCTAAGATACAATAACGGTAATTGCATGTCTTTTTCACAGTCCATATAAACTGACAAATTTGATGTTCTTATTTCAGAATAGAAGCAAATCAAAAGACTTAAAATTTTTATAATAAAAACTATTCTCGTTACAGCCTGTCTCTATGCAAAGTTACAAATCAAAATTTGAAAATCAGTTTTTCTGTTGCGACAGCATTCATTTAAAAAATACCGTATAAATGCAGTATCTTCACAGTAATCGGCTAAAGGCATGAACTCTTTTCAAAGTATTTATATCTCATTTGGGTCTACATAATCTCGACTCAAAATCGATTTATCAGTTCGAAAACTTTGACCTGTAGAAAAAAATATTAATTTTTTTCTTAAATATAATTGAAATTTATTTAGGAACACAAGGACAATGAATAAAACTAATAATTCAGAAAGAGATATTTATACAGCTCAAGAACGACCATTTACACAATCAAGAGTATGTTCTCATACTTTTGATATATAAAAATAATTTTGTTTAATTTTAAAAAGCATCGCAATATAACAGTTGATGATGAAATACAACAATTATATACAAAAAGTTGTATTCAAAGCAAAGGTAATTTTTTATATAATTTAAACTAAATTTTAAATATTCTTATTTAAATAGAATTTGAAGAACCGATTGTACATACACCATTTCATATTGATGCTAATTTTGTACCAATTGTCAATAAAAATCAACAAGGTATAATAAGATATGAAAGTCGACGAAATCATTCATCTAAATATTCTATCAATGAAGATGAAGAAAAGTAAATCAACTTATCAAATATGATTTTGTTTTTTTTTTTTTGAATTCAATTCAATATTTCATAACGAAATAATTCCAATATGAAATTTTTGTTTTATATTTTCTAAGCTTCAGACGTGTACGTGAGCAACAAATTCAAGATCGTATTCGTCAAATAACCGATACAATGTTCAAACGTCGTCTCGAAGCTCGACAAAGTCTATTTGAAGAAAAACGTCAAGTTAAACTTGAATTACGTGAAGTAAATCTTTATTTTATTTATGTTTGATTTATTTTTATTTTTTTTTATTTTTTTTAGTTACGTAGACTAGAATCAGCAGGAACCCAACATCGACCAACTAGTCAAATGAATAATCGTTTAAAAACATTTTATGATAATGTTAAGTTGCAAAAAAAAATGTAACTTCTTTTTGTATAAATAAATTCAAATGTATTCGACTGTTTATCTATTGTTAAGTCATTTTTTTTATCCACCCATTGAAATTATCTATGCGGAGTAATAAAGCATCGAATTAAGCATTGTATAAAGCCTTCGAAAAACAAATCAAATATCTATTCATCATTTCTTGGCTAAGATTTGATTACAGATGTGTAAGAATCATTTTTCATCAGAACTTGAGTTATTTTTTCCGCCTATTCATAGTGTGTAACATGAAAAACGCTTTTTCTGGAGTTATTTTATTTTCGATATAGACTCATAAATAACACAATCTTCACGCTAAATATTTGACTAGAACTAATAGCCAGTTAAAAAGCATATCACGATTGATTTTGAATAACTTCTTATCGATAAAAGATAGAAACCTATAGCTTCTGTTATGACCTTCCTTTCGGCCGAGACTTTAACAATAGAAACAGGTGATTTCAAATCGAAATCAAAATCAACAATTCCATCTTATCAAGAGTGTTCCGGGTAGAACTCGTCGGATCCAAAATTTTTGGACCCGGACTCGATTAACAGAAAAATTTCAGAGGTGAATCCGAGCGGAGAAGTGATTTCTTATCGTCTTTCCCGCTCACCAATTCCCGAAAAAACATTCACCCTCATCCAGAAATCCAGCCAACTTTAGCAAGAATCTTCCAATAGACCTTCCAATCGTGACAACATCGAAATATACGAGCATATCATAAAAAGAAAATGAAGACTAAATGATTCCAGCACGATTCTGAGAATGAAAGATCTGTTTATAATTCGACATTATGCTTGTCCACAGCGAAATAACTTATTCCCTATTTAACCATACCACTGTTATAATTAATACTTCCATAATCTATTTCCGTGGTTTACTCTACTGAATTTTAATGCCAGAAGGTAAAGGGTTAAACCACTTGGATATTATGTTAATTAAATTTGACATAGAAATTTATTTCTTTTGACAGATTGAAAAGAATAAATTTATTTGATTTCATCTCGTGATATCATGAACAAAAGAAAGTACCCAAACAAAAAGAAAAACGAAAATGGCCCATAAATAACACTGTATTTAAACAAAAGACCCATAATTCTAAACCGGTGGAATAAAAAAAAAACACAAAACGATCCATTTTTTTATGAATTAACAACCATTTTATACATATCTTTAACAAGTTGTTCCATATGAGTTTTATCTCCAATAGTTTTTCGAAAAAAAATTTCTTCGATTATTGATGATGATATTAAACGAAACGATGATATTAATGTTAATAATTTTAAATAACGATTTTCTTCACATGGATATTGTTTATTAATATATGTATTTAATAATATTTGTGCTTGATTATGTAAATAATTAATTGTATATATATCATTTAATTGTGGATTAATTATTGTTTGACAATTATTTAAATATGTTTTAAATAAAACAAAATTTTTTAAATAAATTAATTCATTTGTATCAATTTTCATATGTTTTAATTTATTTAAAATATCTTGAAAATTTTCAATATCTGTTTTAAATATTTCATATTGATTATTTAAATAAATAAATTCATTTACATTAATTGTAAATTGTTGTTCAACAGCAGTTAATATAAATAAATCACGCCAACTTTCTTCAAGTAAGCAAAGCTTAACGAGAGAAGAAACAAAAAAACAATCAAAAACAAAAAGCACTTTCTGCTTGATTAAACATACTTGATCACGATTGGATAATGATATAAATGCTGGTACTGTTTTAGTCCAATTAATTGCATTAAATAATATTTTAGCTGCTAATTCATGATGATCAATAATTGGATACTAAATTATAAAAAATTCTTTTGTTTTTTTTTTGTTTTTTGATTATATTAATTAAGTTTTATTTACTTTTGGAATTGATTGATGATGAAATGACATTGATTGATAACGATGAAAATGATATGCATTTATTATATCATTAGATTCTTTAATTAATAAAGCCATTTGTTTTTTTATTGTTGAATTTCTTGGTCCACGTTCATGTTGTACAGCTAGAGAAAAAAAAATATGTATATATATTTAAAATAATTTTTAATTGAAATATTTACCTTCTTTATTCATTCCAGATTCTAAACAACGTCTTAAACGACAACTTCGACATTGATTTCGATGAGTTTTATCAACAGGACAATTTCCTAAACCATGATTTTTACATGTATATTGACGATTTCGTCGTATAGATCGTTTGAAAAAACCCGCACAACTTAGAAAAATTAAAATTAAAAAAAAAAAAGTTATTTTCTTTTATGATATTTTACCCATCACATGCAAATATTCCATAATGTTTACCAGATGAATTATCATTACAAACTTTACATGGAACATCAATTAAAATTCGACCTGCAAAAAAAAATTTTCTTTTGTTAATTGAAATCAAAATCTTTTTCTTTTTTATTTACTTGATGTTGTATTCATTTGTCGATGTCCGTTCATCGTCTAAAATGGATAGGTCACTTTTTTCAAAAGAGAGAAAGACAAAAAGTCGAACCATTCATTGAATAAATATATGGACAAAAATCAATTCATTGGATATTGTTTGATATATATATGTTTCTTTTCTCTCTTCCTCTTTCCTATTCAATAACGAGAGAAAAAAAGGAATCACCTACGTTATCGCTTTTAGCTCATAACATTTAAACGTTTAAGTTTATTCTTATTGATTTCACGAAAAAAAACAAAGTGAAAATTTTTATTTTAGAAAGAAAGGACAACTAATTTTCAATATCATATTAAATATGTTTCTTATAGGAAAATGTATGGACATCACTTATATTTTTATGTGTCTAATTGGTCATTATAAATTCTCCTAATGATATGTGAGACAATAGGATCACGACCTCGTCAATCGATATGCAAATATCGTCTTCAAGATCCTTGTGCTAAGCTCATTCATTCTCTCATATAATGATGGAGGTACCTTTTACTTCTTTTTTTTTTTTAGTCTATATAAATCGTCAATTGACAAATAGTAATAATTGTATACACGACATTTATGTACGGTCTATTTGCTAAAGAAGAAAATTACTATTCAAACTAATATTACTAGTTCCATTCAATTAATAACAAGCACAAACAAGTAATGCAAAGAGGGCAATGAAAAAAAAAAACGAAACATTATTTGAATGACAAAGCGAACTAGGTTGATCATATTTGATCAATATTATATGCGCGTCTATGACTTTATTAGTGGAATAAAAAAAATCGATACGTGTGAAATAAATCAAGTAAGAGATCTGCTTTTCTCTTTCTTGATGTATGTATGTATGTATGTATGTATATTGAAAATTAATGTCATTTATCCATCACTAATCTCTGTACATAATTGAACAAGTTCAACAGTATATATGTTCACAAGATTGATCTTACATCATATAAATTTGTTTTCTTTTTTTTTTTATCGAAACAATATTTAAATAGAATAAAATCTTGTCTGTGAAATCGAATACTACTATATATTTTATATGATAATATATGCATGTTAATATAAAATAAATAATTGTTTTATTTATTTCCATTATTTATAAATTATCATTTGGATGAATAGATATACGAACATGTATATATTGTCACTTAATGTAAATATACAAATGAAATTTAATTTTAAGACTTCAATAACCTATTGGTAGGATTTAATTTTTGTCACATACATGAAATTTGACTTTATTGAAAAAAAAAGAGGAAAGATTCATTGTTGCTTACACAAGTATTATTGTCATTTGAGATCATACTTGCTTGCATGTGTGCGTGTTATAATCCTTTGCATTCGAGTAAGGTGAAAAGAAATAATAACAATGGTGATTTAGCATGGGAGGGACAAATCAACCATCCTTGATAAGTTTTTTTTTCTATGTTGTTTAACGATCAAACATTTGAATTGGTTATTATTGTCAAATGACCATATCATTTCTCAATTACCAACCGTGTCGATTTTGCCGCTTATTCATTATCAACGATGGTGGTAGTTTATGTCTAGCAGGTGACCATCGTTTGATCCTTAAAGCTATGAGAAGAAAGAACAAGAGACATACACATCTCAATTTACAAATTGTTTCACACTATTATAGACTAATTGTATGTGAGAGGGTAAAAGTGAGTGATTGTCATTCAACATCTGTATGTATATATTTTATCATTACAATTTGTAACGAACATTCTCAAAATAATGGATGGGTGAGAATCAATAGCCGTATTGTGTATTTTTCCATTTTTCATCATCTAATACGTTTTATTAAAAAATAAAATATATCACAACAATATGTAACGTGAAAAGCTCTACAATACAGAGTTTATTTTCTCTGCGAAAAAGTTATCTTTATTTTTGTACAAGACGAATTCCTTTTCTTACTTCTTCGATTAATGAGTTATATCGATGGTCGATTTTTGACTAATTGATATGTGTTTCGATTATATTTTTTTTCACTCGGATCGGATGTTATTTGTTAGAGGAACATACAAACTTCATAATAACATATCAAATCTGTATAAGTGTGTCAATTAATAAAAAGAAATGAAATCTGAAGATGACATGACATTGGTTCAAATTGTTAAACAATTATGAAATGTGATCAATGGAATAAAGTTAAAAACTAGAATTCATAAGAGAAGGAATTCATCGTGTACTAAAAAATGATCGTATTTCCAACGTCGAAAATTGGTCACATAGAATTTTGGCCATTTTGAAAACTAAAGATGCATATCGACTTCTCCAAATGTAACTATGTTACGTTTTTGATACATTTTTTTTTCAATTACCTCGGAAAGTTTGAGAGCTAGAAAGTTCATTCAAACGCCATATGACGCAGTTTATCACACTCTATTTATGCTAAAATATTTCTAGAATCTGGTTCGTAGAGCATTGAACGAGCTTTTAAGCAGTAAAAAAGATTCTTTCTAAATTATTTTTGCTCAGGTAAAAAAATGCAAAAAACAAACGTAACACTATCACACAGGTTTTTGAGACATTGAGCGTGCTCAGAAATATTTCATTTTCATGAATATTGATCTTTTCTGTATATCTAATCGTTCTATGTAAGAATCGAATTGCTACATAAAAATGAGAATTCATTAACTGTAAACGAATGTACAAATTGTCTTTAGCGACGAATGTCAAAAATAGACAGATCATTTTGTTGAGAATTAACTTTTGTATCGACTGGTATGTCACTCAGCATTTTCTCAAAAAAACTTCTTGATTAAGAAATTCAAAATACGATTTTTGAAAAGTTTAAAACTCAGTTGTCAATGCCAAAATCGAATTTTTTTCTTTTAAAGAACAAATGTCAAATTCGTAATTAGTGTGAAAAACTGTATTAGATAATGCATTCAGATCAGTCCAATTCCAAAAAAATGTTCAAAAACTTGATTAGCGAAGTGTCGCGTTGCATCCTGTGATATATTTTTATTTTTTAATAAACCGTATTAGACGATGAAAAAATGAAATCCAAAAAGTGGTCATTTATTTTGAACCATTCATTATAATAAAACTTTCATTCAATGAGCGACATCATTGAAGAATAGAAAAAAAAAAAAGAAAAAATTCAAATGGAAGGAGGATAGTTGGTAAGCAACGTAAGATGTAAAAGACAGTAAAACAAAAAAGAAACAAAAACTACAAACATTATTGATATTGTTACTCGAAAAATGAGTGCTACTCACTATCAAAATTATAATGGAGGTTACATTTTATAAAAAATTAAATTTTGAAAAACTATGAAATGTATTTATATAGATCAAAGACAACATATTAGATCTCCAGAAGGTGGAGATATGGAAAAACATTTTAATGATGCTAAATCTTATATATTATCAACAACAGGAAAAGATGGTGTTAATTTGTAAATATAGATTTTGAATTCTTCTATTCATATTTGTTTGTTTCTTTATTAGATATGAACATTTAGTAAAATGTGTTTCTCGACTATTAACAGAACAGCCTCGTAAGATAAATTTAATAAAAAACATATTTATTCAATTAAAATAATAAATGTTTAATTATAAAGGTGATGCTGTTACTATATTTGAAGATATTAGTAAATCGGCTCGATCTCAACAAGATAAAGTACAAGAACAACCTACTGAAGATACTGAACGTATTTTAGCTGAAGAACAAAAACCACTTTTTGAAGTAAATTTCTTAATAATTTTTGTTTTTTTTTGCATTATTTATTATCCATATAGAAATCAGATAATACAGAAGAACTTGATGATGAAGCGTTACAAACACCATTGCCACATATTCTTGAACAAGCTTATTATTTTGAACAAGCTGGTATTGGCCTTGGACGGGACGAAACATATCGGTAAAAATTTTATTGAACATATCTCGTCAAAAAACGTCCATTTTCCATCAAAAAACATGAAAATCGAGATCCATGCATGGGAAGATAGTCCGATGTCTAATCTTTCATAAATGACATCAAAAGTTTCCGTTGAAGTAGAAAATCTTTCTCTTTTTTTCTCTGTTTATGTTTTAATGATCGTGCATCTCAGAATTCTCGAAGAAAATTCATTGTAGCCAATGGCTTTGGTTTTTGTTTGAAAGAGCATATCAAAATACAGGGCATGACAGAACTCCTTTATAATAATAGCACCATTTTTTGAGACGCTAAACTTTTCTACCCTTAAAAAGTAAGAACTTTAAAAAAAAGGACTCTGTCATGTCCTACATCCTTTATATGTTCTTTCAAACAAAAAAAATTTAAATAAACGGCAGCAGAAAATTTCAGGTTGGCAAATGAGCTATTTTTGATTCTTGTTTGTTGAATATCTCGCAAAAACATCATGGTATAGGACTAAAAAACACGTTTCACGTGATATGAATGTATCTGGTCCAAGATCGATTTTTGAGAAGTGGAGATGAGGCTTGAAATAAATTAATATATTTTTTTTTATTTTAGAATTTGGCTTGCGCTTAAACAATTAGTTGATAAAGGTCAATATGAAAAAGTACATTTTTGGGGTAAAATATTGGGTACAGAAAAAAATTACTATATAGCTGAAGTTGAACAAAATGCTGAAGATGAAACTGATGAAGATGAAGGAAATGAAGAAGCTAATGAAAATGAGGATGCTAAAGATGTTGATGATGAAGAAGCTGAAGGTGAAGAAGATCCTTTACCTAAATCAACTTATAAATCACCACCAACTGTACCCAAAGAAGATCGTGGTACAGGTGTTAATAAATACACTTATTATGTTTGCAATTATCGTAAGTTTTCTTCTTTTATTTGAAAAAAAACATGAAATTCTTATGTTTTATTTTTTTTAGCTGGAGCACAATGGATTAAATTACCTCTAGTAACACCAACACAAATAGCTCAGGCACGATTAATTAAAGTTTTTTTTACTGGAGATTTAAATCGAGAAATAAAATCAAATCCAACATATCCAGGTACAGAAAAGAATTATTTACGTGCACAAATTGCAAGAATTAGTGCAACGACACATGTATCACCTAATGGAAAATTTAAATTTTCTGATGTAATTATAAAA